CTTTCGTTGTTGATATCTTTGACAGATATGACGTCAAACTTTCTAGCAAGGCAGCAGAACGGGATCGAAAATCAAACTTTACACTGAAGGTCTTCCAAGTAATTGAAGGTCACTCCCTTCCAGACTGGAAACAGATTTTATCTGCAAATGAAAATAAGGAAGCATTTCTCCAGTTGTTTGGGAAATGTATTGTGTGTTACCACCAAAACAAACATAATACACTAGCAAATAATAGTGAAGTAACTTTAGCTGGAACTTTTTCCGATCCTCAAATCGTAAAACGCATTTTTGTTAAAACTGCCATTGACTGCGTCGACCTTTACAGTACGCACGAGGAAGCTGATACGCGTATGATTTTGCATGCCATATATGCCGAATGGGCAGTTTGGAAGCGGTAGCTGTAAAGGAAGGATCATAGTGAAATTCACTGACACGGATGTTTTAGTTCTTTGTGTCTACCATTTTCCTTCCCTGAAAATCACAGAACTTTGGTTTGAAACAGGAACTGTAAGCAGCACCAAGGATACAATCGTAGTGACGTTTTATACCTATACATAAACTATTCTTTGAATTCCATCGTCATTCAATATTTCAGGATGTGACTCCACATCGGCAAGGTTTTGTTAAAAAAAAATGTAAAAAAAAAACGGTTTTCAAAGTCCTGAAACAGGAGTGTAGTGAGGTTTCCGATTTAGTTAACCTGGCAAACTGTGATGTTGTCTCTCTTTCAGTTGCAAGAAAGCTCATGGCTTTGCTTTATGATGAAAAGAGAAAATTCAAGAGCGTACACATTCAATAAATTACGTGTAGAACTTGCGACTACTGAAGATGCGTCTCTGGCCAAGCTTCCCCCTAGTGAATCAGCATTTAGGCAACATTTGCTTAGAGCATCTATGCAGATAAGTATATGGATGACATCACAAATTCCTAAACCACCTATAAAATCTCCGTTAAAGTCTGAATGGATTGATAAGGATGGTTTGAAGCCGGTATTTTTCGAGGTCAAATGACTTCGGACTTCATGTACTTGTAAAGGAAAATATGTGTGCTAAAAAATAATGTGTTTGCTTTAAGCAGAACCTTTAAAAAATGGTGACCATATCTGGTCCTTACGACAGGCATATTGTTAAAGTACAAGGCTTCCTCTTTCGAGTGATATATGATATATGTGTGTGTTCGGTGGGGAGATTAAATTTAAAAAAATCTGCCCTCAGTCACCGCACTACTCGGGTAATATTCATAATAGAAAAATATAAGATGATTATACAAGAGTAAAAAAAAAAAACAACTGACAAATCATTTTCAATAAAAAAAAATTATTAAACCAAAGTACTATCAAATATACAAAGTTAAGTATGGATACAGAAACAAGATGTTCACTCAGTCTTGACAACAGGACGACAAAACACTAGAAACATCTACATAGTACCATATGGACTTCAAAATACACATTCAAATATCCTTACAAGATGTCAAACTGTAAATCGTCTTTCTTGTAGAACAGATTTGAATGAATTTGAAGGGGATTCCAAGTAAACAGCTTAGGTTAAAAGAAACAGAAAACAGCAACTAATGTGTAACTAAAAAAAATTAAAAAATTCAATCTTCAATGGAAGGAATAATTGACCAGAGAATGATAGACAAACAGATCCACCCCCATCACATTTAAAATAATAAAAAATCCTCTCGTATGCTATTTTAAAAACATAAAAAAAAAAAAAAAATCAACCTAAATCAAAGCTTTTTGGTAAAAATCCTGGTAAACAGAGACACTAAGGTTTTAGCCTATTTTCTTAAACAGATGCTGTCTCTGGACTCATTTGTCATATGTTTCCGAGATATGTCCAGAAACAATGACCAAATCTGTCAAAAGTAATTATTTTAGTAAAGCAATGATCAAGCCATGAATTCGAATATATGTGTAGTCGAAAATAGAGTATTTTGTCCGTAAATTGTTTTGTTATATATTAGGCTTTGAGTTTTCTAAATTTAATTGTTTCATATTTCTCATGTCGGGGCTTTTTATAGCCGACTATACGGTATGGGTTTTCTTATTGTTGAAATTGTACGTACGGTTGCCTATAATTGTCTACATCCACTTCATTTGAACTTGGTTGGATAGTTGTCTCATTGGCAATCATATCACACCAACTTATTTCTTTATAGTAGTCATTTTACTGATTACTGATGCCTACTGTCCAGAGGCAAATAGTAAATGTATAAACCAAACGATTTCAAGTTAATATCACATGTTTATATAAGATTTGTGCATACATTGGGTGGCATTTTCAATGCGTTAGTTCGCAAACATTTGAGTTAGTAGGAAGATCTTTCAAATAATAAAATTTCAAAACGGCTCAGTTCTCATGAAGAATGTAAAAAAGCAAAACAAAACCAATAGAAAATAGTGTACTAACTGTATGGGGTTCAATCCATGATAACCATATGCTTCAATAGTCAATTATTCATTACACCATAGCGGGGACTAAATTTGGAAACATAATGCTATAGGCTCTAGCGTAAGAGTTCTGCAAATGTCTTCAAAATGTTTTAACAATTTTCGATCAAATTAAAATTGAGAATGGAAATGGGGAATGTGTCAAAGAGACAACAACCCGACCACAGAACAGACAACAGCAGAAGGCCACCAACAGGTCTTCAATGCAGCGAGAAATTCCCGCACCCGGAGGCGTCCTTCAGCTGGCCCCTAAACAAATATATATACTAGTTCAGTGATAATGAACTAGTATATATATTTCATAATTCATTGAAATAATTTGCTGAAATGGAAAATCTTAAGTTATAAAAATACAAAGTAAAACATAAAAAGGGTACTATAAATCGGCGCCACATTAATGTCGATTTATATTTTTGAAACAAAATCGACCTTATGCAAATGAATTCAATACATCTGTTAACCTATTTTGGGTTGAAAAAATCTCTACGGAAAGTCTGTAACTGTTTGAAAATTGAGATGTTATAAGAACCCGACAAAACAGACCAAAATTCAACTTTTACTATAATCCTGGTACCTTTGATAACAATTTACTTCGTATTTGAATGTTCCAAAATCAATCAAAGTCTTATACATGTACATATATACGTGCACTTCCATAAGGTCGATTTCTATCCGACGCAGATCAAGTGTTGTTATACGTTTGTTAAGTACTGGTCAGCAACAGTTCGCCAATTAGACAACGCTCCACAAGAGACCAAATGACACAGAAATTAACAACTATAGGTCACCGTACGGCCTTCAACAATGAGTAAAACCCATACCGCATAGTCAGCTATAAAAGGCCCCGAAATGACAAATGCAAAACAATTCAAACGAGAGAACTAATTCCCTGAGTCTTAGATGATATATGATTTACTCCTGTAGCTTTTTTTCAAATTGATCTTTTTAACCAGTTTGTCTACAGTGTCAACAAGTGAAGCTTTAAAATCAGAAACTTTATCATGTAGTACATTTGCCTATGTCTTTGACAACAATTAAATAAAGATGTTAAAGTTGTCACAAACATATTTATAGTGTTGTTCAAAATTCCATTTTCTTCCACTAGCACAATACTCTGTTGGCTGCAAGTAGATTTTTTTACTTAACTATTTAAGTGTATTGATTTTTTGTCCTTCAGCACATCTATCTTGAAAATAAATATATTCACAGATTTAAAAAAAAAATTTTTTTACCAAATTTCTTTATTTTCTATATGTTTCCTAAGTTTTGCTTGTTTGTATCTTTCAAATTTGATCTCAACGTTCGTTTGTGCAAAATAGCTTTTTTAAGTTCTCTCTTCATATATGGTACTGAGTTTTTTCGAGGATATCTGTACTTCATGACAATTTATCACCTCAGAGACTTTAGTTTCAAAATCATTATAAACTAAGTTTATATTATCTATACATGAATCATGTAGTTTAAGTTTAAACATATTTTATTGTCGAAAAAAGATTTGCAATAGGATCAGACACAAGTTTTGCAACTTAGAACGTCTTCTACATTACATACAAATAATAAATAACGGTATTGTATTGTTTTGATTAAAATGAAACTGACAAATTAAACACATCTACAACACGATTCTGAATTAGCTTATAATTGACACTATATATTTTAAATCTAGATTGAAAACATATTTCTAAACTGGTTTCACTATGCATGCTATATTTATGCACTGTCCTTACTTTTGATTGGTTCTCTGCTTAACTATAATAATTAACTCCACTCAAAAGAAGGTGGTACCTTACAGCCAAATGACTTGAGTGTAATATCTTTTGTTAGCTTCAGTGCTTGCTAGTTGAACCGTGAAGTCATTATTAGGTTAGGTATACTACCCTCCTTTAAGAGTAGACTAGTCCGACAGATAACCAATCTATCTGTCTGTAAGACTAGACTACTCCGAAAGGAGGTTAGTATACCCAACCTAATAATGACTTTACCTACACACTCATGTCATTTTGCTGTAACTAATAATAATTTCATGGTTCAGCTAGCAAGCAAGCTAACCAAAGGTATTACCTTTACCGACACACTAGTCTAAAGTCATTATGCTGTAAATTGTTGTTGTCAACTAATAGGATATTATATATAAAATCGAATGGATAATCCATTCTTTGGATAAATTGAACAATTTCATTCGCAGTCAACAAAAAGTAATTACACTATAAATGTTTATATAATTAGCCATAATGTCTTTCCACTATGAAAAGCGACGTGTCTTGCTGTTTACACAATTTGGCGTATAAAATAAACTTTAAATTTATAAAATCCTGGATTCGCCCCTGCTGAAACTTGACCGAACGTGAACATTTCGAAATAGAAATACGTTTTTCATGACAAAGTAAAGACTGTTATTGATATAATAATACATTGCTCAGGTTGGTATGAGTTATTTTTAATTTATACTTGGAATTATAATTTGCTTTCCGATGGTACGTTGTAATTCAAAAGTTTTGTGATATTCGATCGGTAATTAGTTACATTACTTACAGGGATATTCCGAATGATGTTTACAAAACACAAAATGGAGAAAAATGCGTCAATTGTTTGCAGCTAGTGTACTGCTGTTTAGGTGAACAACTCATATGCTTGGTAAATATAAACTGATAATCACAATTAGAAACCAGTGTCTTACATACTGGAAACATTGTAAGAGGTGACAAAGTTGTATATTATCCTGTCACCGGTTCGACCACGCCGACGCATGGCGGCATGACATGATGTTTTTGTTTACATACCATCAAGGCATCATGTCTCTTTATGGTCCCGAAGATGGACAAGATGATACTAAAATTGAATAATCTATTTCTTTATTTTTTTTAAATAAAATCATTTAAATCGTAATCTTTCTTCCTGTATTTCTTTTACAATATTCATAAAGATGATGAAATTAAAAATACAGGGGAAGTAACTCATGATCTTTATAATTGTATATTTTTTATTTGGATAATATCAGCATTAGATGGACTGTGAAAATTAGATCAGGAGGTTGGGAAATTTTAAGTTAAAAAGTTTAAATTAAAAGTTTAGACCTCAGATCAGGAGGTTTTTTATCAACATTAATTTTTTTGTAAATTTAAACTGGTCGGATGTAAAAATTGTACCCCTATTTTTTACATTTTTCAAACCCCAACCGGGTCAAACCAAAGACTTAAAAATTGGTATTTGCTGCTTCTCCGCTAATCACTCTGCATTAAGGAGCAAGAGCAAAGACTGGTCGGCTCAGAATCAGAATAAGGTGTCCCGGTAAGATGAATGATGGTTACCTTGTGAACTAGCAAATGCATGTCATTTCGTAACCTGGTCGTTTCGTACCTGGTCGATTCGTAAATACGTTATTTTGTAACTGAGACGTTTCGTACCTGGTGTAATTATATATGGTTATAAAGTGTTAGTTTAAATGAAACAGTTAAAGTTATTATTTAAAAATGATCAAATTGTTCATCTTATAATAACAATATTGTAATATTTTTAATTTAAAACTTTCTTAAATCTTTTTAATTATTGGCTAATTGGTAATTACGCTCAGTGACAGCTTTAATGGTTTTATGACAACTAGTGACAGGTATTTAAAAGTAATTACAGTAGGTATAAATGATGATGGACAATTTAAATTCTTCTGTTCTATTCGCATGTGTGCAAAATTGTACTTGTAAAGTGTAAAATTATGTGCAATCAATTATTTAATAAATAAATATAGATATATATATATATACATCAATAAGTCTTTTTATTATTTTTTACGTAACCTACGACTCATATTGTTATTATATATTGATATAAGGTTACAAAACATCTCAGGTACGAAATGACCTAGTAAGTTACGAATTGACTATAGTTACGAAACGGCCTGCACCCTAACTAGCACTTTAAAAATCCAGCTCAGCTTGTCGGTATAGTATAAAGCAGGGTTACTATTCATATTACATTAACATGTTCTCGTCTTGAATATGCATTTTAATTTGCCGCTGGACATTAAGCTGCCATCCATCATCAATAAACAGAACCGCCATATTTACACTGTCATCCAGGCAGCAAACAAACAAAGATAACTTGTGTTCACAATGTTTTCAAGCAGGAAATACAAAAGAGGTTTGCCAATCCCAGTACATCATACACATCATCAGCTGTCTGAAGCGTAAAACTGATATATGTCACTCTGTAAATCAATGATACATTATACAAATATATCATGGTATATATTTTTACGTTTTTCTTCATTTCTTAGGGTATTTAAGCCATGGAAGGTGAAATTGAAAACCCAATAGAAGTACCAAGCTCTCCCTCAAGTTCACAACCAACAACACCATCTAAAACAACAAAGGACAGAATGGAAGAATTTCCCAGTAGAGCCTCATCAGAATGTAGCAGTAATAAAAGTAGCTCAGAGAAAACGCCACCTCTCAAACACTCTTATGAACCTCGTAGCTCTGTTGTGACTGGGGACCTGTTCCATGATAATGCCAGTACCTGTTCCAGTACATCATCTACAACCACCTCTTCTGTACCCCCACTTAATAAGAGGTTCCCAATCAGACCTGGTATTGTATGGAGAAAAGGGGAGAAAATAGAGGCAATGGATTTCATAGAAAAATGGTAATTTGGGCTACATGTATATTATGCAGAGATGTATATTGATGTAACCTTTATGATCTTTTAATAAACAAAATCAAAAATGATTTTTTTTATTAAACCATGCACATGATGCATGAAATGTTAATGAAAATAAATTTACTTTTATTTAGTGGTTTTACAAGAATTAAGGTTAACAGACATGACAGAACTGAAATTCTTATAAAATTTATAGTTATAAATCCTACATCATTGCTCATGTATACATGTATAAACATGATAAATGAAATGAAAAATATAAATTATGAATTTTTGAGAAATACAAGGTCATGTTAAAGGTATTGCATCAGTCATGTCAATAATGTCATTTTCATGATTATTTCTTGATTTTTATGATAAAAATTGAAACTTGACATAATAAGATTGACATTGGATAGAATTTGTATTGGAAATCATGACCACTTAATGTATAATGATGCATTGATTTGATGCATAGATTGAACATAAGTTGTTTTAGTAAATCTCTCTTGGGTGCACCTTTTTTGACACTAGACATTATGAACAATCAATATTCAATCATTTTGTGTACCTATTTTTAGATTAAAATTAATTATTGTATAGCAGTTAATATTATACAATACATGGACAATGTAGACCTTTAAAATTTATATTCAACATAAATAAATTTAGTTGTACAGGCAGTCAGGGGTACTACTTGTACAAGTAATTTTTATTTACTTGAAGAAGTAAATATTAATATACTTATATAAGTAAATTTGTAGGATACTTATACAAGTGTATTTTATTTACTTGTATGGGTAAATTATTTTTTGGCTTAGTTATGTCCCTTAGACATTCAGATTTTTTGACTTATACAAGTAAAAAAGTCATCCTATCTTCTTTTCTTGAATTCTTAAAACTTCTTTGCTCTAATAGAATTTTTAATTGTCTGTCATTTGCAGATGTCTGTCATTTGCAGATGTCTTTTCTAATCATTTAAGTGTAATTTCATGGAAAATGAAAATCTCATTTGTCTGTTATCTTCAGAACACTGCTCATTTACAAGCCCCGAAGGGGCAATTTTTGAAGGCCTTGCGCAAATACTTAAGATCTTTGCGCAATCAGTTTCTTTGTTGAATTAATGAGATGAAACATTGAACTCTAATAAAAAATTATTAGCTAACCTGAGAAAAATTGTTAAAGGCATGTTTTTACATCACAAAACTTGAGAATTTTTGTGGGATTGTGAAAAAAAATTACTTGTACAAGTAAATTTTTGAGAAAATTAAGGGGAGATTATTCAAACATTATAATTAACTTATATAAGTATATTTTATTTACTTTTTCAAGTAAATAAATATAACTTGTACAAGTAGTACCCCTGACTGACAGGGACTATTTCTCTTATGTGTGAACATAAATAATTTAAGGTATATTGGGACTATCTATCTTATGCGCACCTTTCTCGCTAGCTGCAGATCATAGGTTTATAAACCACTGGAGTAAAGCTGATGACCATAATCGATTCACGGTCATCCCAAGATGGCGGATGCAGAATTAATTCAGAATCTATATTGTCTGTTAAAGTGTTTCTATGATATATTCTATATAAAGCATACATTGGTATGATATCAATTTATAAAAGTTTCACACGGAAATCACAAATTACTACCGAGAAATGTATATGAAACAGGAAATTTGATTTGAAAACATCGCTAAGATGACCGTAATTCACAATCGAGATGACCGTACCAGTACCAGCGATTCAAAACAGGGATGACCGTAATTGGTAAAAGATGACCTTAATTTATATAGGAAAAAATAGAAAACTACGAATTTTGATTTGAAATTTTCCTAAATGAATGTTATAAATTATCAGTTATATTATTTAGTTTCATCAGAAATATCAATTATGGACTATTTTTTCTAAACAAACGAAACAAATGAAAACTCGTGAATAATGAACCAAAAAACAACATTTTAAGGTAGTCAGAAGGTTTATCACTGAGCATGTTGCAAATGTCATACCCTTGGAGTACTTAAAGTTCATTTCTATATAAAATCCAGATAATTTCAAATTATAGTCTGGCTAAATAACAAAGATGTGTTCTGTTCAGGGTTGATGCATGAATTTCCCCGAACAATTAAATATTGAAATTTTGCAAACTTTTTCAGGTAAGGGAACGATCATTTGACTCTGAGGTGAGGGCCGTGTAGATTTGATTGAGTCAGAATATTCATTTTAAGAATTTTGCGGGTCAGAAATTTATTTCAACCACTTTAGAGCAAGAATCTTTATTTTTTTATTTTTTTTTACTAAAAAATATACATGGCGGTAACAATAAATTTTATAGGAAGTTAAGCCAGAATATTTATTTTCAACTTTATTGAGGTAAGAAAATTGTTATGAAAAATCTGCCAGTCCCCACTGGAGTTTTACCAAGTAATGTACTTTGCAAAAACAATGTACATGTAAATTGCCGAGGATGAAAATACCAATAGACCAAAACTCCTAAATGAATCTATCTCCGGCACTTTCACTATGACATGTATGAAAAAAAGGTTCATAATAGAAAACCAACGAGAGTGAGTCAAAATTTTGCAATGACTCAAATCTTGAAGTTTACATCCTCAGAGTGATACTGAACAAATGATATCAACAATAAAATTGCTAAAATTATGAATGGTTCATGTCTTCATATGTATAAGTGCCCAGACATAAAATGTTTCAAAAATTTCAAGTAACTTGGTTTTATTAAACTACATATACCATCAAAACTATTCAACGATATATCCTTAAAAAGTAATAATATCTCAATTAAATAGAACAAATCTTTTAAAAACAAATAATTGGTTTTTTTTATGAAAAGGAATGCTAATTGATTACTGGTCAGTTGTCGGTATCCAGTGCATGCTATTCGCAACTTAATTTATAGAGAATTAAATAATTTGAAAAGTACATCAAACATGTAAGAATTATTTCAATAAAATATAAAAGGGGCATTAGCTACGAGATATAGAAAAAATAAAATATGATTTTTTTTTTTCAATCATTAACAGTCAGGGGACTTACTTAAATAAGTGATTTCTAAATCACTGATTCAAGAAATATTTTGCCCAGAAATGTTGGAAGTGAGAGTTGTCTTTCTTTAATAATCACCTATTTAAGTAGATCAAATAAATCACTAGACTTAGTGATTTAATTTTATTGTAGCTTTAAATATACAATACTAATGATCCAGGGACTAATTATGTTGCTAAAATTATCAGAACCAACATCTGTGTTGATACAATGTAGGATGACCGGTCATGTCAGGTGATGACCTTGTACTGAATCTAGGATAATGACATAAAAATCACTTGTTTAAGTATCATACCTTTATTTTCTTCCAAAAAATCACTTCTTTAAGTATTATTATTTTAATTACCCCCACTAATTTTAACACCCCCGAACAGTGAAATTTTGATCGCATTGATTAATCATATTTATATCCACTAACCGAGCCCCTATTGAGACAAACTCAACATTTTCTGTTGCTCGGATTATGGAATCACGGTCATCCTTGTTATATGTTTGGTCATCTTGAAAAAATAATGATGATGAATTACGGTCATCTTAGCGATTTTTTCAAATAAAATTTCCTGTTTCATATACATTTCTCGGTAGTAATTTGTGATTTCCGTGTGAAACTTTTATAAATTTATATCATACCAATGTATGCTTTATATAGAATATATCATAGAAACACTTTAACAGACAATACCGATTTTAACCTAATTCTGCATCCGCCATCTTGGGATGACCGTGAATCGAATTACGGTCATCAGCTTTACCCCAGTGACAAATGGTCCTTGTGATTTTTTTTTGACAATTTGGGGACCATGGACTATGGTCTGTAAATTGGCAAAAAATATAAGGACTATAAACATAACCAGACCTATCATGCCTATGGTCCCTCAGCTACTCTCTTGCCACTTGAAGTTTTGAACAATCACCATTCAATTCATATGTGTCCTTTTGTAATAGAACTAACTTATCATGTTTTACATCTAGTCCTTTAAAAGTTATGAATACAGAAAATCTGGCTTTAATCTTGGATATTATTGACCAGAGGTTCCGAAGGTTTTTTTGGACCTCAGTGGTCTTTTTGTCCAGTAACTGTCCAAGCATTACTGGTCCAGTCAGTGTTTTAGCAGTCTTTTACATAAGTATTACAAAATTCTTACATCTACACTGGTCATTTGGTCCAGTAATTGATGACATTTTACTGGACACATGCTGGATTTAACCATTTATTACTGGACATTGCCATAGTCTGATGGACCATGGAAATAACTGATTATTCTACTTTAGAAATCTGTCAATACTGTTAAAAAAATGAAAAACAAGCAGTAGAAAGAAAATTATTGAACTCTAAATATTTAAGTTTTACCCTTGTCTGTCTGTACGGATGTACGTACGTAGGTACGTCCGTTCGTACGTCCCATAATTGGTTTCCGTTCTCTAACTTGAGTTTGCCTCAACCAAATGTTATGAAACTTATACACAATGCTTATTACCAAAAAACACAGATCAAGTTTGTATTTTGGTGGCGTCACTTTAACTGTTCTAGAGTTATGCCCCTTTATAAATGGAAAAATTGCAAAATTTTTAGTTTCCATTTTTTAACTTAAGTTTGCCTCAACCAAATGTTATGAAACTTATACACAATGCTTATTACCACAAAACACAGATCAAGTTTGAATTTTGGTGGCGTCACTTTAACCGTTCTAGAGTTATGCCCCTTTATAAATGGAAAAATTGCAAAATTTTTAGTTTCCGTTCTCTAACTTAAGTTTGCCTCAACCAAATGTTATGAAACTTATACACAATGCTTATTACCACAAAACACAGATCAAGTTTGAATTTTGGTGGCGTCACTTTAACCGTTCTAGAGTTATGCCCCTTTATAAATGGAAAAAGTTGAATCAACTACAATCAATGCTTTATACAATGCAATGTTTAATTTTGACTTCCACTGATAAAACACAGATCAAGTTGAATTTGGGTAGTGTCACTTTAACCATTATTGAGTTATGCCCCTTTTTAATCGAAGGATTGCAAGATTTTTAGTTTCCATTCTGTAACTTAAGTTTGCCCAAACCAAACATTATGAAACCTATACACAATATTCATTACCACAAAACTAAGATCAAGTACAATTTTTTTGTTTCCGTTTTCTAACTTTAGTTTGCCTCATCCAAATGTTAGGAAACTTATACACAATGCTTATTACTACATAATACAGATTAAGTACGAAATTTGGTGGCGACACTTTTACCATTCTTGAGTTATGTCCCTTTATAAACATAAAAATTTCTGAATTTTTCATTTCCGTTCTCTAACTTTGGTTTGTCTCAACCAAATGTTACAAAACTTATACACAACCATTCTAGAGTTATGCGTGTTTACAAATAGAAAAATTGCTGAATTTTTAGTTTCTGTTCTCTACTTAAGTTAGCCTCAACCAAATGTTATGAGACTTACACACAATGCTTATTACCACAAAATTTTTGGGTGGTGTCACTTTTACCATTCTTCAGTTATGTCCCTTTATAACTATACGATATGCAAGCGGGTGCATCATCTGTGTCCACATTTATTTTATTGAGATCAGGCCTTAAAATATTAGAATCTGATCTAAATAATTTTAAAGATCATGTGTTCAGACTTTGTCTACAAGGATCTGATCATGATCACACCTAGTTCTGCTTTCTGTTCTGGTAACCTTTACATTAGCCAATGAAATTCCTGCCTCCAAATTTTAGAAGGTGTGTATCGTAAGGAAAAAAGAAGAAGATCCTGAAAGGTTGTCAAAACAGGAAAAAGTCTTAGATTGTTTCTGTTAAAATTCACCATTTTTGTTCACCTGGGACTATTTAGAGCTTTATAGAAAGACCTGTCTGTTGATAAGACTGTATGTTGTTAAGACCTGTCTGTTGTTAAGACCTGTATGTTGTTAAGACTGCATGTTGTTAAGACCTGTCTGTTGTTAAGACTGTATGTTGTTAAGACCTGTCTGTTGTTAAAACTGTATGTTGTTAAGACTGTATGTTGTTAAGACCTGTCTGTTGTTAAGACCTGTATGTTGTTAAGACCTGTCTGTTGTTAAGACCTGTATGTTGTTAAGACTGTATGTTGTTAAGACCTGTCTGTTGTTAAGACCTGTCTGTTGTTAAGACCTGTATGTTGTTAAGACCTGTCTGTTGTTAAGACTGTATGTTGTTAAGACTGTATGTTGTTAAGACTGTATGTTGTTAAGACCTGTCTGTTGTTAAGACCTGTATGTTGTTAAGACCTGTCTGTTGTTAAGACCTGTCTGTTGTTAAGACCTGTCTGTTTTAAAACTGTCTGTTGTTAAGACCTGTCTGTTGTTAAGACCTGTCTGTTGTTAAGACCTGTCTGTTGTTAAGACCTGTCTGTTGTTAAGACCTGTATGTTGTTAAGACCTGTCTGTTGTTAAGACTGTATGTTGTTAAGACTGTATGTTGTTAAGACTGTCTGTTGTTAAGACTGTCTGTTGTTAAGACTGTCTGTTGTTAAGACCTGTCTGTTGTTAAGACCTGTCTGTTGTTAAGACCTGTCTGTTGTAAAGACCTGTATGTTGTTAAGACCTGTCTGTTGTTAAGACCTGTCTGTTGTTAAGACTGTATGTTGTTAAGACTGTATGTTGTTAAGACCTGTCTGTTGTTAAGACCTGTCTGATGTTAAGACTGTCTGTTGTTAAGACCTGTCTGTTGTTAAGACCTGTCTGTTGTTAAGACTGTATGTTGTTAAGACTGTATGTTGTTAAGACCTGTCTGTTGTTAAGACCTGTCTGTTGTTAAGACCTGTATGTTATTAAGACTGTCTGTTGTTAAGACCTGTCTGTTGTTAAGACCTGTATGTTGTTAAGACCTGTATGTTGTTAAGACCTGTATGTTGTTAAGACCTGTCTGTTGTTAAGACCTGTCTGTTGTTAAGACCTGTCTGTTGTTAAGACCTGTATGTTATTAAGACTGTCTGTTGTTAAGACCTGTCTGTTGTTAAGACCTGTATGTTGTTAAGACCTGTATGTTGTTAAGACCTGTCTGTTGTTAAGACCTGTCTGTTGTTAAGACCTGTCTGTTGTTAAGACCTGTATGTTATTAAGACTGTCTGTTGTTAAGACCTGTCTGTTGTTAAGACCTGTATGTTGTTAAGACCTGTCTGTTGTTAAGACCTGTCTGTTGTTAAGACCTGTATGTTGTTAAGACCTGTATGTTATTAAGACTGTCTGTTGTTAAGACCTGTCTGTTGTTAAGACCTGTATGTTGTTAAGACCTGTCTGTTGTTAAGACCTGTCTGTTGTTAAGACCTGTCTGTTGTTAAGACTGTCTGTTGTTAAGACCTGTATGTTGTTAAGACCTGTCTGTTGTTAAGACTGTCTGTTGTTAAGACCTGTATGTTGTTAAGACCTGTATGTTGTTAAGACCTGTCTGTTGTTAAGACCTGTATGTTGTTAAGACCTGTATGTTGTTAAGAATGTATGTTGTTAAGACTGTCTGTTGTTAAGACCTGTCTGTTGTAAAGACCTGTCTGTTGTTAAGACCTGTCTGTTGTTAAGACTGCATGTTGTTAAGACCTGTCTGTTGTTAAGACTGTATGTTGTTAAGACCTGTCTGTTGTTAAGACTGTCTGTTGTTAAGACCTGTCTGTTGTAAAGTTCTGTCTGTTGTTAAGACCTGTCTGTTGTTAAGACTGCATGTTGTTAAGACCTGTCTGTTGTTAAGACTGTATGTTGTTAAGACCTGTCTGTTGTTAAGACTGTCTGTTGTTAAGACCTGTCTGTTGTAAAGACCTGTATGTTGTTAAGACTTGTATGTTGTTAAGACCTGTCTGTTGTTAAGACCTGTCTGTTGTTAAGACCTGTATGTTGTTAAGACCTCTCTGTTGTTAAGACCTGTATGTTGTTAAGACCTGTCTGTTGTTAAGACTGTATGTTGTTAAGACCTGTATGTTGTTAAGACCTGTCTGTTGTTAAGACTGTATGTTGTTAAGACATGTCTGTTGTTAAGACCTGTCTGTTGTTAAGACCTGTCTGTTGTTAAGACTGTGTGTTGTTAAGACCTGTCTGTTGTTAAGACCTGTCTGTTGTTAAGACCTGTCTGTTGTTAAGACTGTGTGTTGTTAAGACCTGTCTGTTGTTAAGACCTGTCTGTTGTTAAGACCTGTCTGTTGTTAAGACTGTGTGTTGTTAAGACCTGTCTGTTGTTAAGACCTGTATGTTGTTAAGACCTGTCTGTTGTTAAGACTGTGTGTTGTTCTCTAGATGTCTTTTAGTTATTCTTGTCATTTGGTGTTTGTCACATTGACATCATACCTCACATTTCCTTTATTTTTTACAATTCTTATACAAATTAAAAAATCAATGAATCTTATACAGGTACCCAGCAAAAATTATAGAAATAGATGAAGACGATATAGCAGTGCTTATACATTTTGAAGGATGGAATCAACGCTATGATCAGTGGATGGACATGGGCAGTGAAAAAATACGACCTAAAGCTAGGCATTCTGGGAGGAAAGAAAAGAGAAAATCTTTGAATAATGTATGATTTTTAAGATCAATGATATTTTTGTTTTAATGAACATAAAGAAAATATTGACAAAAACATTTAGCCACTGCATTTATGTACAGTATCAGCTGATTATAATGAACATAAAAAAATAATATTGACAAGAACATTTAGCTAGACTTATACAGTATCAGCTGATTGTAATGAACATAAAGAAAATATTGACAAGAACATTTAGCTAGACTTATACAGTATCAGCTGATTGTAATGAACACAAAGAAAAATCGACAAGAACATTTAGCTAGACTTATACAGTATCAGCTGATTGTAATGAACACAAAGAAAAATCGACAAGAACATTTAGCTAGACTTATACAGTATCAGCTGATTGTAATGAACACAAAGAAAAATTGACAAGAACATTTAGCTAGACTTATACAGTATCAGCTGATTGTAATGAACACAAAGAAAAATTGACAAGAACATTTAGCTAGACTTATACAGTATCAGCTGATTGTAATGAACACAAATCTGATCTAAATAATTTCAAAGATCATGTGTTCAGACTTTGCCTACAAGGATCTGATCATGATCACACCTAGTTCTGCTTTCTGTTCTGGTAACCATTACATTAGCCAATGAAATTCCTGCCTCCAAATATTAGAAGGTGTGTATCATAAGGAAAAAACCTGAGGATCCTGAAAGGTTGTCAAAACAGGAAATAGTCTTAGATAGGCATGATAGGGCAACAAAGTCATTAAATGTATATACATATATACATATACTTAAAATATTTTTAAAATTATGACTTTTTCAAACATAGGAACTGCTCATACATGTCATAATTATGAAATTAAAAAAGTTGGTTTTGTGAAAACTGGAACCCTAGAACAAAGTAATTTTGCTCTTTAAATCTATTATTTACTGTCAATATTTGTCATGTAAAAAAAAAAAAATTTTGAGGATGGTTATTAGTTTTTTTTTTCAGGAATATAAAGTTGGAGATCAGGTGTATGCTAGGTGGACAGATTGTAAAATGTATCCAGCAAAGATAACAGCCATTCAAGCTGAGGGTAATAGTCATATTTCAATTGATATGTATCTCTTGACAAGGGGAAAACATCATGCCCTGCCCCTCTCATTATCATAGCATGTAGTGTTATAAACATGACAGCTTAAATTGATTTTGGTAATATTAATATTTCAATTGATATGTATCTCTTGACAAGGGGAAGACATCATGCCCCACCCTTCTCATTATCATAGCATGTAGTGTTATAAACATGACAGCTTAAATTGATTTTGGTAATATTAATTTCAATTGATATGTATCCCTTGACAAAGGGAAGACATCATGCCCCCCCCCCCCCTTTTCCCTTTTACATTAACATAGCATGTAGTGTTTATGACAGCTCACATTGACTTTGCCATTTCAACCTGTAGTAGATGAGATTTAGGAAAAACGGGAAGACGTTCCTTTTAGAATTATTTGTTATTTGTTATTTCTATTTTAATCCAAATAAAAGAAAAAAAAATCAATTTATGTGAGTTTCAAGTGAGATTAATGAATGAATAATGATTAATGTAAATTTCACTCACATGAATTACAGGTGAATTCAGATTCATGTGAAATTCATGTGAGTGAAATTTCCCTGTGAACATGGTGAAGTTCTTTACCCATTCATGAATATTCATGACATGTGACCATTTGTTTGCACTTTTAAAAAAAACCTGTACCATCAGGAAGAGACACATTTATTCACACATAATTAATGAGCATCTGTATGTGCAATTCTGATTATTCAAATCATAATGTGTTCTATGTGATTTATAAGATATAGAATTAAAGGTTATAGCGAGTAGCACACCTACATTGGTGTTTGTTTATTGTAAAGGCCATAGAATATAATCACTTTATATTCGAACGAACATATAGCATGTATAGTGCCTTCCGTACATAAAAAGGATGAAAATTTATTTTGAATATAATGAATTTATAGTGCCTTCAGTACATAAAAAGGATGAAAATTTATTTTGAATATAATGAAATATTGTAAATTATATAGGATAAGAAGTTGATACCTTTTAAAAGTAATAGCTTACATTATAAATGGAAACTTAACATGTGATGGGGACATTTTTGTATGACTTAAAGGATCTTTGGTGGAAAAATGAAAAACGAATTGTTGGCAGTACTCATCTCACACTTACTATAGATAAAACTTTATATTATGTGATAAAAATTTCAGAAATCGAAGAATCATAATGACAAATTCAACATCTCTCCTATTTCAAACTAATGCTGTCCACATAACATTTTTGGAGGGATATACAGCTAACCTGTTTTATTTTCATTATAAGATGTTTTCAGGATAAGAAGATTATATTTCAATGTATAATTGACATAGTTTTTGTTATAGATACATTTGAGGTTTTTTTCTACGATGGTTTCAAGAAAGTTGTACAAGGAATGAACATAAAGCCAATGCCACCTGAACTAAAACAACAGGTAAGATATGCAGGACTGTGTGCTCACCTGGTCTGCAGTGGGACTTCTATTTACTCACCTGGTCTGCAGGGGGACTTCTATTTACTGACTTGGTCTGCAGGGGGACTTCTATTTACTGACTTGGTCTGCAGTGGAATTTATATTTACTCACCTGGTCTGCAGGGGGACTTCTATTTACTCACCAGGTCTGCAGGGGGACTTCTATTTACTCGCCTTGTCTGCAGGGGGACTTCTATTTACTGACTTGGTCAGCAGGGGAATTTATATTTACTCACCTGGTCTGCAGGGGGACTTCTATTTACTCACCTGTTCTGCAGGAGGACTTCTATTTACTCAACTGGTCTGCAGGGGAATTTATATTTACTCACCTGGTATGCAGGGGAACTTCTAGTTACTGACTTAGTCTGCAAGGGGACTTCTATTTACTCACTAGGTCTGCAGGGGGACTTCTATTTACTCACCTGGTATGCAGGAGGACTTCTATTTACTGACTTGGTCTGCAGGGGAACTTATATTTACTCACCTGGTATGCAGGGGGAATTCTTTTTACTCACCTGGTCTGCAGGGGGACTTCTATTTACTGACACGGTCTGCAGGGCGACTTATGTTTACTTACCAGGTATGCAGGGGGACTTCTATTTACTGACTTGGTCTGCAGGGGGACTTCTATTTACTCACCTGGTATGCAGGGGGACTTCTATTTACTGACTTGGTCTGCAGGGGAATTTATATTTACTGACTTAGTCTGCAGGGGGACTTCTATTTACTGACTTGATCTGCAGGGGGACTTCTATTTACTCACCAGGTCTGCAGGGGGACTTCTATTTACTCACCTGGTATGCAGGGGGACTTCTATTTACTGACTTGGTCTGCAGGGGAATTTATATTTACTAACCTGGTATGCAGGGGGACTTCTATTTACTGACTTGGTCTGCAGGGGAATTTATATTTACTGACTTAGTCTGCAGGGGGACTTCTATTTACTGACTTGATCTGCAGGGGGACTTCTGTTTACTCACCAGGTCTGCAGGGGGACTTCTATTTACTCACCTGGTATGCAGGGGGGCTTTTATTTACTGACTTGGTCTGCAGGGGAATTTATATTTACTCACCTGGTATGCAGGGGGACTTCTATTTACACACCTGGTCTGCAGGGGGACTTCTATTTACTGAATTGGTCTGCAGGGGGATTTCTGTTTACTCACCAAGTTGCAGGGGGACTTCTATTTACTGACTTGGTCTGCAGGGGGACTTCTATTTACTCACCTGGTATGCAGGGGGACTTCTATGTACTGACTTGGTCTGCAGGGGAATTTATATTTACTGACTTAGTCTGCAGGGGGACTTCTATTTACTGACTTGGTCTGCAGGGGGACTTCTATTTACTCACCTGGTATGCATGGGGACTTCTATTTACTGACTTGGTCTGCAGGGAAATTATATTTACTCACCTGTTCTTCAGGGGGACATCTATTTACTGACTTGGTCTGCAGGGGACTTCTATTTACTGACTTGGTCTGCAGGGGGACTTCTATTTACTAACCTGGTCTGCAGGGGGACTTCCGTTCACATACCTGGTATGCAGGGTGGCTTCTATTTACTCACCAGGTCTGCAGGGGGACTTCTATTTACTCACATGGTATGCAGGGGACTTTTATTTACTCACCAGGTCTGCAGGGGGACTTCTATTTACTCACCAGGTCTGCAGAGGGATTTCTTTATACTCACCTGGTATGCAGGTGGACTTCTATTTACTGACCTGGTCTGCAGGGGTACACCAATTTACTCACCTGGTCTGCAGGGGGACTTCATTTTGTTCACTTTTCCCTAGGGGCCATCCTATTTGCTCACTTTTCCCTAGGGGCAATCCTATTTTTTCAATTTTTCTCCAGGGGCAATCCTATTTGCATACTTTTCCTCAGGGGTATTTCTATTTGCTCAACTTTTCTGCAAGTTCAATTCTATTTGCTAGTCTGTGCTTCATAGGCATTGTTATTTGTTTGCCTATGCTGCATGGGCATTTCCATATGCTCATCTGTGCTGCACGGGCATTTCTGTAGAACACAATTTGTGCTCTTTGCTGTAAATTTCTTAGTCTTATGGGACCAGAAAGCAATTAACCTTAATCCAGAATTTTCTGCTATGAAAAATTGCACTTGAGAATTTTATTTTTACTTTTTGGAAAAGATGCATGGCAAGAAATGGTTTATGTATGTCTGATATCTGGAAGAAAAACAGAGAGTAAATATTTTTAGAAAAGTAAACTTGATAATTAAGATATATGTTTTTTAATTGGCAGAAAATAGAAATTGTTCATGTGTTACCAAAAGATATGAGAAAAAGGTCTTCAACAGATACTGAAGAAGGCAAAAAGAGACTTTCAACAGAAACTGAAGATGGCAAAAACAGACTTTCAATGGAAAGTGAAGATGGCAAAAAACGACTATCAACAGACATTGAAGATGTTAAAATGGAACCTTTGACAGAAAGTGAAGGTACACATACAAAATGATTGGTTCAAATAAAAGAAGCTCATTGGTTCTTTTTATAATGGACAAGTTTAGAAATTGTGATGCATTCTGGAAAATGGGAATGTCATTGTTTTGAACATTCTGATTGGTCCAAATTAACATTTACTAGACTGCAATTAATTCACAGGGACCATATATTTATTAATTGGTCCATTGGTTCTGTTGTCCAATTCAGTGATTCAATCCTGTCACTGTAATATACAAGAATACTCGTGATTTGTTTAGTTACCTCCATCATTAGAGCTATTTTCCTAATGCTTGTTGTTTAAATGAGAATGTATACAAGCTGAAGCCCTGCCTATCTATTGATTGCAGATGTCAATCTTAATAACAATGCTTGAGCAAACATTTTGGCAAACAAAGCAAGCAAACCAACCAAACCTTTAAACAACCAAGCATTAGGAAAATAGATCTAATTTAAAAAAATTACATGCATCTTTTATAATGCACCACCATATTTTCTATATTAACAAATGTTTTTAAACTTTATCAAGATAGTGGTGCGAACTGTAGTTTCTGTTTTAATCTTGTATCTTTCAAGTAGTAAGTCTGTCTGAGGCAAAGCTGAAATTACAAAGTTAATGCTTTTATTAATCTCTAACTCCTCGGCAGGAAATTTCTTGCTCAAATAATCTTTTTTGTTCCTTATTTCTTCTTTCTCTTTTTAAAGGAAGGAAAAAGAGGCGTTATCAATGTGACAAAGGTAATCCAAGGAAGAATTTTCAATATGCTTTCCGCTGATTCTTTATTGTTCGTAATTTGCTTGCCTATTGTACTGTGGATAGTTGTATTTTAGACAAGTGTATGCTATCTAAATGCTACATGTATATAGCATGTATAGTAGTGTGATCCTTACAGGAAATTGACACATTAAGATTAAAAAATTATTTTTGAAATTCAAGTTTTAAGACATACTAATGTTGAAGATGAACATTTAAAGCTCAATTCCCTTACCCTTTTTTTATGAATATTCAAATTGTATGAAAAAAAGAGAAAAAGGGCAAAATAAATATATGAGTGTTTCCTGTCTCCCAACATGCCCGATAATTGATTGCAAATCTCTTAAACATTTTATTGCTTTACCAAGATAAAATATTAAAGTCATATGAAACGAGTTTCTTGTAAATGTTATCGAAATTATTGAACCAATGCATGCAGATATACTTAACTAAGTCCTGTATTCACGTTTTTTATATTTCTATGAATCAATAACTTATTATCGACAAATGATATTTCATTTAGTGATTGTTGATCGCAAGCTTATTTACTTTCTTGTTTGTTTGTCGACTTTTATTAGATCGTGACATTGATAAACAATCAACACAGAGTATGTGGAGCAATATCTGCAAATCATTGTATGGGAAGACAATAATTCAATAGCAGTACATTTATGAAGATTTTGAAAATATAAAGAATTTCTTTTACAAGAAAGTCCACATACACTTTTTTTAAAGTAAATCTGCATGTATATAAAAAATATTCAACTTTTATGCCACCGCCGTCATCATAGGAGGCATTTTAAAGAGTTACCCTTGTCTGTCTGTCCGTCCGTCCGTACATACATCCCAAAATTGGTTTCCGTTCTCTAACTTTAGTTTGCCTCATCCCAATGTTATGAAATTTGTACACAATGCTTATTACCAGAAAACAAAGATCATGTTGGAATTCGGGTGGCATCACTTTTACTGTTCTTGAGTTATGCCCCTTTATAATGTTATATGCAAGCGGAGGTATCATCTGTGTCCCATGGACACTTTCTTCATTTATTTTTAATTATTGAAGTTTCAAATGTCTTTAAAGAAAAAGTGAATTTTGTTGTTAGAGAAGACAACTTATTTGAATTAAATTTTTTTATACAGTTGATAAAAATCGAGTGAAAAAGTTACATTTGATATTGCAAAAGTGCCATCCTACTGTGCAAAATTTCAAGCTGTGTAGTTTTTAGTTAAGACTGGACTTGCACAAAACATGTATATTTTTGAATTTTCCAGATTTTGTTTAAAAAAAATTAAAAAATTTAAACATTTTTATGGTAGGAGACTGGAAAGAGAATTATTTTGCATAATTTTTAATGCCTTCAGACTTGTTTATGTTACAATGATAGAACTAGCAGTGTACAGATAAACAGTTGGAGCTCAGACATAAATAAGTTGAATTTTGCTTTTGACTTATAGAGGTCTTAATTTGCATGTTTTATGGGTCATCTCCCTTTATTTCAGAACAAAATATGACTTCAACAGGTCAATTATAATGATTGTTAAGCAAAAACATATTAAACAAAATCGAAATGTTGCAAATATTGAATTCTTCAAGTCAATAATCTACCAAAATTGGCCAACTTCAATAGCAATATACAAATAAAGAAAGGTCAAACATCAACATGAAATTGTGACATCATTGTTGGGCAACGCTTTGTCTTCTCATGAAAAATATGAGTGACAGTCTGAAATACGGAGACCATATCAGGCAATGCTTTGTCTTCTGAAGCAAAATATGAGCGACAATCGTAATAATGGAGACCATGTCAGGCAACGCTTTGTCTTCTGAAGAAAAATATGAGTGACAGTCTTAAAAAAACGGAGACCATGTCAGGCAATGCTTTGTCTTCTGAAGAAAAATATGAGTGACAGTCTTAATAATGGAGACCATGTCAGGCAACGCTTTGTCTTCTGAAGAAAAATATGAGTGACGGTCTTAAAAAAACGGAGACCATGTCAGGCAACGCTTTGTTTTCTGAAGAAAAATATCAGTGACAGTCTTAATAATGGAGACCATGTCAGGCAACGCTTTGTCTTCTGAAGAAAAATATGAGTGACAGTCTGAAAAGTGGAGACCATGTCAGGCAGCGCTTTGTCTTCTAAAGAAAAATATGAGTGACAGTCTTAAAAACGGAGACCATGTCAGGCAACGCTTTGTCTTCTAAAGAAAAATATAAGTGACAGTCTTAATAACGGAGACCATGTCAGGCAACACTTTGTCCTCTGATGAAAAATTTGAGGGACAGTCTTAAAAACGGAGACAATGTCAGGCAACGCTTTGTCTTGTGAAGAAAAATATGAGTAACAGTCTTAAAAATGGAGACACTGTTCATTCACTTTCTAATGCAACTATTGATAACCACTATAGGTTGCACTTTGTAAATACAGCTGTTTCTCAAACCACGCCTCTTTTGGGGAGATATAGAATATTCATAGATAATTAATTTTGTTTACATACTGGTTCCCAGTTATGATCTCTATGTTTCATCTCATAGAGACATAACATGGGAATGTTACCAGTAAATATACATATGCATATTGTTTGTATTGAAATCTGTGGTAATCCTACAGTTAAGGTAGGGGTTGTTAAGAAATTTAGTGTTAGTTTAAACTCTTAGAAGTTCGGGCATATAAACATGGAAATTTGCCACACAGCCCTATATTTTGACCTTTTAAAAAAATAGTAGTGCATATGAAGTTTCCATTCTAGGATATGATTTTTTACAAAACTTCATAGTAAAAGTGGTACAGTTTTAGCCGTAAAAGGAGTTCCTATGGGAAATTGTATTGTCAATATTTACAGAAATGCAACCTAAAAGATGAAAAAAACAACTTAGATGTGAGAAAAAAGTTCAGTCAGATAATTACTTAAATAAAGATAGCTCATTCCCTTGTAGATTTGTTTTTATTGATATAACGGTTGGTGATGTACTTTGGCCACAAAGTCAAATAGAGTGTTTTCATCCTTTTATGAAACATAAATTGACCTAACTAAGTCTGTTATTTTCTGACTTAGATGGTTCCAAAATTGTAAACAAATTTTTATCATGATATATATTTTGACTTCTGTAAGTCAGAAAAATAGAGACTGGATTATGTCTGAGCTCTGACTGATGTATGTCATTATATCAACATAAAGTAAAATTTTCAATGATAGTGTTGGTGGAATGCTCAGTTACTTTAAGTGCAAAGTCAAGAAATTTTGTTGGAATAAGATTTGTCCATTCACATAATGCTTGTGGAATCTGGTTTTGCACAAGTTGCAATGAAATGATTGCTTAAACAGTTTATATTGCTGTATGGCTATAGCTACTTGAGAAAGATGACTGCTTTGCTTTTTGTATGATTTTTAAATTGGCCTGTTACATATCTATTTTTAATGAAGTGCTTTGAATTTTTTTCCAAAAATTCTGTACATTTTTTAGTATGAGTACTAATTGGTTATTTCTGATTTATATATAAAAGCAAATAATAATGATATGGTTTGAATAGGTAAATTAAAAAAATTTAAGTTCTTAGACCACTTTCATTCTGTGTCAGAAACCTATGCTGTGTCAAATATTTAATTACAATCCAAATTCAGTGCTGTATCAAGCTTGAATGTTGTGTCCATACTTGCCCCAACTGTTCAGGGTTCGACCTCTGTGGTCGTATCAAGCTGCGCCCCAGCGGAGCATTTTATTAAAATGTAGGTTTTTATTTTTGGGACACTTATCCAGCTGCAGTTTTCGCAAAAATAAAAACACTTCAGATACTTTTGAAGTCACTGTTCATCATTCAGTTTTCTGTTCGTCATTGTTGACTTTTATGTTAAAGCCAAAATTAGGTGATATTTGAGTAAGACTTAAAGAAAAGATAATGTTGGATTTTCAATACAAAGGGCCATTGTGAACCACAAATATATAAATATCTCATAGGGTTATATGCAAACTTTGTGAAAATCCACAAGTATATACAAAATACAATTTTTGTCTCGCCTGCGACTTTCAGCGAGACATAGGGATTGCTTTTTCAGCGACAGCTGAGGCAGTTGTAAAGTTTTCTGCTTAAGTTTGTTTGATAGGAACTACTTGTAACAGATCATTGATATTTAATACAAAGTTGCATTACTATCAGTACATATCAGTTTGATGACTATTTTGAGGCCTTGCCCCTTAGGTCATGGTCCAGTGACTATGAATTAATTAGCAATTTTCAAAGTTAAGTTTTCTGCATAAGTCAGTTTGATAAGATCTACTTGTGATAGATCAATGATATTTTGTATAAAGGGGCATTACTCTTTGTACATTTCAAGGCCCTACCCACAAGATCATGGTACAGCGACTATGAATTAATAAGCAATGTTGCTGTCCATCAGATTGTCTTTTTATACGCCCGTTTACGGGACGTATTATGGTATACCGTTGTCCATCTGTCTGTCCGTCCATCTGTCCGTCGTCAACATGTTGGACATTAACTCAAAAATGCTGTAACCAATTTGCATAAAACTTTGGTGAATTGTTTATATGTATTGATGTGAGCTCCCTTTTGTTTTTTATAAAATTTAGATTTTACGTTTCCGAGTTATGGGATTTTATTCATTAAAAAAAGGGGGATTTGATTTTCCAGTTTTCGGACAATAAGTCAAGAATGCTTTCACCAACTTGCACGAAATGGTGGTGAATTGTTTATATCTATTGACATGAGCTCCCTTTCGATTTTTTATAAATGTTAGATTTTACGTTTCCGAGTAACAGGGTTTTATTCAGAAAAAAGGGGGGGATTTTCCAGTTTTCGGACAAAAACTCAAAAATGCTTTCAGCGATTCTTTTGAAACTTTGGTGAATTGTTTGTATGTATTGATGTAAGCTCCCTTTAGAATTTTATAAATTTTACATTTTACATTTCTGAGTTATGGGGGTTTTATTCATTAAAAAAGGGGTGATTTTCCAATGGGGTTTTATTCATTAAAAAAAGGGGTGATTTTCCAGTTTTCGGACAATAATTCAAAAATTCTGTCACCAATTCTCATGAAACTTTGGCGAATTGTTTATATCTATTCATGTAAGCTCCCTTTTTATTTTCATAAATTTCTAATATGACATTGAGAATTAATTGAACTTTATTTGTTTATAGTCTGACAACAGATTTACTAAGTATTGCACAACAATAAGAAATCTTTAATTGAATATAAATTCAATTCATATAACCAATTTCAAGTTCTTTGACTACATTTATTCAGAAACCTATAATATGTCAAATATTTAATTACAATCCAAATTCAGACCTGAATCAAGCTTGAATATTGTGTCCATTTTTGCCCCAACTGTTCAGGGTTGGACCCCTGCGGGTTGTATCTAGCTGCACTCAGCGAAGCAGTTTATTATTGAATTTTATGCGGACAGGGTAGACATATCTCCATGCCAACAACTTATTCTCAAATACAGTTTTTCTTCACAAAAATTTGAACTCACGAATATAGATAAATTCACGGTATGCCACCCTGTTCACATTTTCATATAACAAATATAGCTCATGCTATTTAGAATTGATAACTGGAATACAAATACCGTATATTCTGAAATTATTGGCATTATTGAACAATGAGCAAAAATGTCAGATTAATTATTGCAATTTCATGAAATGCTGCACACAAATAATGCTTTCAAAATTCAAAATGCAATTTTTGATTTTTGTGAAACCTATAAACGTATTTACACTTTTGGTATTTAGCTGAATTTTGTCTCCGAATGATCTTAGATCTGCTCAGAATAACCAACAATCACTTTTTTAATTGTGATGTCATCTTTTACGGGAACTTGTGTGATTTTACGTAATGACAGACAAATTTGCATACAAGTAACTACGTCTATTCTAGTAGACAGCATTATAATCATATAAAACTGAATTTCTGGAATATACTTCTTTTTAGCCGCACCATCAGGATTTGAAGTTGAAGCTGCGCTTGTTCTCCCTCTGGTAGAAGAACCAGCGGCTAAAAGACATAAGAGAGAAAGAAATCCTGAAACAAGGAGAAAAGCAATGGCCAGGAAAAGACAAAGGATGTTTATATCAGGGTCATTATTTGTCAGCAGACGACGACCGAAACCTAAGCCAAAGAAGTCACCGGTTAAACATGGGGTAATTAATAATAAGTAGTTACTGGTGTAAAGAGAACCTACAAACTAAAAATGTGAGATCAGATAAGACAATTTGGAAAGAAGATAGATAAAATATTTTTTTTATATTTTTAAGGATTATTTTCCAAATCTTCCCTTTCAGCTGAGAGGACTAAGAATTTTTCTAGGACTATTTGATATGTTGTATCCCTCCAAATTCTTTTAAAGATTTTCATTGTAAATAATGACAGACTATTGTTTGACAGTGTTTAAACAATTTTATTAGAATTGCACTCAATAAATTTATTATGACAAGACTTTGTTTTTAGGAAACAGAGAAATGGACTAAGTGCAGTGTTCTCACACTTATGATTTTCATATAAACACTATGTAAAACTCTTTACATCCTAATAGTTTGATTGATTGATTGATTGTTGGTTGCTTTACGCCGCATTAGCACAACAAGGCTATATCGCGGCGAGAGCTAATTCGATTAATAGTTTGAGGAATTTTACTAGTGATAAATATAAAGATAAAGAGATGTGGTTTGAATTCCAATCAGACAACTATCCACCAGACTTCAAATGCATGGTTATAAGCAATTATAGGTCACTGTACAGCCTTCAACAATGAGCAAAACCCATACAGTATAGTCATCTATAAAATGCCTCACATGAAAAATGTGAAGAATTCAAAGGACAATGAAGTAGAAAACAAACTGCATAACTTATAACAATTCATTTTCCTAAATAAAAATATATGGTAACATTTCATTCATTTTGAATACTGTAAACAAACTAGTTTTTGCGACTTTTAAATTTTAAATTTGAATTGAAAATTGTTGTGAATATGTGAAACTTGAATCTGACCTTATATAAATAACTCAAGAAAATGAGGAGATGGCAAAAATTAAATTGTCTTGAAGTTTGCTGGAAAAAACTTAATACAAAATTAAAAACCAATTGTTCAAAGAACAATTGAAGGTCATTCCACATCAATTTTCTAAATAATTGATGAGAAGATAATTCTGGTTTACTCAAAGCTACTATTGGCGTCCAATCATAGGTTTCTTCATACTGATTCAATAAACATGGTTTCTATAGACTTTTGCCTGAAATAAGGGAGATAATTGTCAACATCCGGTTTAGAAAATGTCACTTCCGGTCTCATATGATAGCTTTATTTACACTGATTCAAAAAATATATGGTTTATATATACTTTTGCCTGTAAAAAGGGATATAATTGGCTACTTCCGGTTTAGAAAATGTCACTTCCGGTCTCATATGATAGATTTATTTACACTGATTCCAAAAATATATGGTTTATATATACTTTTGCCTGTAAAAAGGGAGATAATTGGCTACTTCCGGTTTAGAAAATGTCACTTTCGGTCTCATATGATAGCTTTATTTACACTGATTCCAAAAATATATGGTTTATATATACTTTTGCCTGTAAAAAGGGAGATAATATGCTACTTCCGATTTATAAAATATCACTTCCGGTCTCAAATGATAGATTAATGTATGACCATTCAAAAAATATATGGTTTCTATGTACTTCTACATGAAATAAGTGCAAAAATGACTACTTCCGGTTCACTCAAGGTCACTTCCGGTTGACATTTTTCAAGGTCATATGTCACCGACCATTTTGCAAAAGATCTTATGGCTTTATCATGTACCAATATGAAGTAATAATCAATTTACCTTAAAATAAAACATTTCAGGGGCAATAACTCCAATAAGAGGTCGCTGGTTTGTCTCAGACCAAATGTATCATATCTTCATCACAATATAACAAACATTTTGCACTTGTTCTTTAATATATAACATTAAAAATATCGGAGAAAATGCAAAAACAAGCAAAAGACAAAATTCAGAACATGACCTTGACCTTTGACCTTGACCTCATTTTCGCAGTTAGGATCCAAGGACCTTAAATAAAAATTCTATAGGTTTATACGGCTTACAGTTTATGAGTAACAAAAACATAACGACAAATTTATTTGATAAAGGTAGATAACTCCTATAAAATTTCATCGAATCGCTTCGATCCAAATTAGCCAAATATTCCTGAGGATGTAACCATGGAAGTAATATTGAAAGGAATAACTACAACGCCAGTTCAAAGGTTTCATCTGCGTTACCGCCCATCTTTCGATAACTCGTTAATTGGTTTAATATATGGCATGGTAATTGACTACTCGGCATGTGATAGATCAAATCACTGACACTTTCCGGTTATTGTCGTGTTCACGGAAATATACGAACAAACCGGATGTTGTCATAAATACTAAGGAAGTCAAAATTGTCTGAAGTTATCTTTAAAAACGATCAATAACGGTTTAAAAAAAACTATAGTTTGTAAAGATGGAGGACGTTCCCGATGAAATTTTTGATGACTTTGAAACTTCGGAAACTGAAACCGAAGTTTATTTCCATTGCAAATCAGATGTGGTGGCTGATTTAATAGAATGTGAGGGTCCAGACTGTAAAAGTAAGTTTTACCATTTGATCATTTTCAATTTCAATATTTAATGTCCCTTGCGTGCTTTGATTTTTCACAAGGCAAATGACGATGTGTGGTCTTCTTTTCTAATTTTCCATATAAACGGCAGTCAAATTCAAACTCCATTTCTGAAAGTTAAGAAGATAATTTTACAAATTGTATGTCTTAACATGGAAGTAGAATAAAAATTAACATACTACTTGCATGGCCTTATAAACAACCTTGTATTGAACAGTCTTCTATACATTATCATCTGATCAATTAAAACAACTTAAACCTTCAATTACTATACTCTTCTAATTTGTACACAAAATTTAAAATGACTCACTAAAAATAAAACTGCCGATAGAAATAGCGTCATGCTCTCTTTGTTTGATTGTTTTTCTCTTTCTTGTAATGTGTTAATGTTATCAAAACTTTTTTTTTAAATAGATATAAATTTTAATACGGTAGCACCGCTAACCATTTTAATTTCATGTTTAAATAAAGTATTTTATGACTTTTATTTCATGTAAGTCTAAATTATTTGAAAGTTAATATTTTTTTTAATGCTCGATAAACTTGGCACATTTCAACAGTAAAATATCATATGTCTACATCTGTCTACATTATTTTGTTATACATCATGTGAACCCTGACCGCATCATCGTTATTACCTGTTTTTACTTGAGATCCGCTTTCAACCGGAAAATGCTTTTAAATCAATTTAAAACAAACAGTAAAAAGCCAAAATATGCAAAAATAATTACAACTTACCATGTTAAGCTGTTGTAGTTTATACAATTCTCATCCGTTTTTCAAGTTTTTTTCACCATTCGATTTCTTTCTAAAGGTAGATGTTTTATGTGATACAGCGCTACCTTGTTATTAATAAACTAGGGATTTCCCACAGGTGCGCTATAATTACCGGACTCGATAAAACCACGTGACTGATAAGAAATTCCAGATGCCATTTTACAACCGCGGTATCACAGATAGTAACCAAAGGGGTCCTACCGCTGAGACTATAATTGGACAAAATCGTATGACTTTAGTACAGAGCTCTACATGCCATTAATACATGCTAATTAGTCGTTGTTATTCCTTTCAATATTACTTCCATGATGTAACGAACAATTTGTAAAAAGAATTTTGTCGATATCTTTTTTTGTTACGAAGGAGATGCACACAGATGATAAACAGTGAATAGGGAGATAACTCTTACAAAGAAAATGGTTCGGCTTAGCAGGGTGAAATTTAAAAGCGCATAAACTATACGATACAATATGAGAAATATCTAAGCGACATATTGCGAAACAAACATTTATCGCAAGAACAAAATTTGGCGGAAGAAAAAAAAAAAAAAAAATAATAATAATAATAATAATCAGAACAAATACAATAGGTCTTTCCACAGAAAAGTGGAAAGACCTAATAAAGTATTTGCAATAATTAGTTGGTTTACAGTGATGCTTGCACAGCCATCACACCTGTGAATAGATGTTGTATTATCATTATTATTATAAGACAACAAACTTTTATTATACACATATTTTTTCCAGGTACTGCCAAGGCAGAATTTACCTGTGGGCACACCAGTTTCTTCACCTAGCGTTCCTGGCATAGCCTCCACGCCAAACATTCCTATTGCATCATCATCACAGACTAAAATCACAAGTAGTTTGACTGGAAACTTCCCATCAACACCTTCGCCTTTGTCTCCAGTTACATTAATATCAGGTGAGTTGTGTCCCTTGTAACCATAGAAGCTCAAACTACAACTTTCCAAGTTACATGTGTATCATGAAGTGAGGTGTGTCTCTTGTAACCATAGAAGCTTAATTTTTAAATTTCCCATTACATTTGTATCCTAAAGTGAGTTGTGTCCCTTGTAACCATAGAAGCTTAATTTTTAAATTTCCCATTACATTTGTATCCTAAAGTGAGTTGTGTCCCTTGTAACCATAGAAGCTTAATTTTTAAATTTCCCATTACATTTGTATCCTAAAGTGAGTTGTGTCCCTTGTAACCATAGAAGCTTAATTTTTAAATTTCCCATTACATTTGTATCCTAAAGTGAGTTGTGTCCCTTGTAACCATAGAAGCTTGATTTGTAACTTTCCCATTAACATGTATCATGAAGTGAGTTGTGTCCCTTGTAACCATAGAAGCTTAATTAGTAAATTTCCCATTAACATGTATCATGAAGTGAGTTGTGTCCCTTGTAACCATAGAAGCTTAATTTGTAACTTTCCCAGTTACATCTTTATCATAAAGTGGTCCAAATAGTTCATCTGCAGTATTGCTAGCCTATTAACACTTAAGGTTGTGAGTTCAACCTTACATGTTTCAGGTGCGTTAGACTCTAATCTTATTTACTTGACTAGGATTGCAAGTTTTTCTGCAGAAGGTCAAAAGGCACTCCAGCTTCCTTCACCAATAAAAAATGGCCTCCTTGATATAACCAAGAGTGCTGAACATGGCATTCAACACGAACAATCATCACCATCACCGTGACCTTAAGAAGAAGAAAGGCAATAAAAGATCTGTTTCTTTGCTTTTGGTTTTGTCAAATAATAATCCCTAATTATCCATTGAGTATTTGTGACATGCTACATAGCAAATTTAGCTCTTGTTATTACTACAAAATTTTCATGAAAATGAAAGTTTTAAAAATTCTGAGAATCAGAAAAATTGTAAAACATTGTTACTGTATCTAAATTACTGTATATGATTTGTAAAAGTTCACCTTATATTACTATAGTTGAAAAGAAGAACAAGAAGAGAATTTTGTCCCCAGCAATCTCAGAGACCAGCAGTGAATCCCAGTCAGAGGATCACCAGGCTAGGGCAAGACGTAGGAGTCGATCTTCTACAGCAGAAGACAGAGGTTAGTAAATACTATGTTTTCTTGTGTGTTTAATTATACCCCCACTTTTATACCCCCCCTTTAAAAAGTGGGGGTATACCTTTTACTTCTGTCTGTCTGTCCATCCTTCAGTCCATCCATCCATTAGTCTGTCCGTCTGTCCCATGAATATTTTTCGTCGCATCTTTCTCAGGAACTACATTACAAGGATTTCTGAAATTTGGTTTCAGGGTTTATATAAGTCAGCTATACTGGGACATGCATTTTCAGATTCATCACTCAACAACTTCCTGTTTACCGAACACTTACATCATTTTACACATGACATCCAAGTTGAAAATTTTCATCACATTTTTCTCAGGAACTACATTACAAGGATTTCTGAAATTTGGTTTCAGGGTTTATATAAGTCAGCTATACTGGGACATGCATTTTCAGATTCATCACTCAACAACTTCCTGTTTACCGAACACTTACATCATTTTACACATGACATCCAAGTTGAAAATTTTCATCACATTTTTCTCAGGAACTACATTACAAGGATTTCTGAAATTTGGTTTCAGGGTCTATATAAGTCAGCTATACTGGGACATGCATTTTCAGATTCATCACTCAACAACTTCCTGTTTACCGAACACTTACATCATTTTACACATGACATCCAAGTTGAAAATTTTCATCACATTTTTCTCAGGAACTACATTACAAGGATTTCTGAAATTTGGTTTCAGGTTTTATATAAGTCAGCTATACCGTGTGATGCGTTTTCAGATTCATCACTCAACAAATTCCTGTTTACCGTCAAGTATTTGGGCTGGGGTATCATCAGTGAGCAGTAGCTTGCAGTTTCACTTGTTTTCGCTGTATTGGCAGAGGACATTTTGTCTTAGAATTTAGCCTATATGAACATTTCACTGTCCATAAGAATGTATTGTAAAAGGCCATGAAATGTGAATGAAGATTACAGCAAAGATTGAGTGTTCCTTTGAAGGATCTAACCTCAAACACAACCTAACTTGAAAATAACCTGATATATACAGTATAGCAAGAGCATAATTTTTATAAAACATAAATGGGTTGTTTTGTGGAAAAATGAGGATTGATTGTTTACTAAAGAATTCCATGAAGACAGGAATATTTTCAGTGAGTCAATGTCACTGACCTGAATATGGATGTATTTTAGTCTCTTTTAATTTCACCATCTCAAATCTTTTCCGTAAAATTTTTTATTACATGTCCATTAGATTTTTGCTTTTGAACTCATTTATGTTAAGAATATGAAGAAAATGCTGTTGATTCATGATCAATTATTATTATTGAAGTATAAGATATATACAAAATAAGGGTTTATTTATCACATGGAAATGTGACCTTACAAGCGAGGCATTAATTGTATCACATGGACACATATGTTTTTCTAGATATCATTTTTTAATTGAACAGGACCAAAACCATTATGAATAAGTGTATGTATTTTGTAGCTGCTGTGATGTATACTCCTCCTACTATTGGTTTACCACCAAAGGGCTTTGTCGTAGAACAAGACCACAATCATTTTAAGTGTATGTTTGAGGGATGCACCAAAGGGTTCCGTAAGGAACAGCTCCTTGATTCTCACATCAAGTATTATCATATGGACTTTGTACAGCCAAGTCTTATACGGAAAAGAAGGAAAACCTCAAGTATTTGTAAGTTTAACATTGTCTGACTCGAAATGATTTGCATAGGTTCCAATGTCACATATATGTCAAATGCAATATTTAAAGGTTGACTCATTTTGATAATTTGGGATTTTCAATAGGCCATATTAATTTTGGAAAGATTAGAGCTATTGTATCAAGACTTTCCTAAGGCACTGGCCTCCCAAACAAGAAGAAGAATAAGTTAGCTACTAAATCTACAAAATGAATACACACTGAAATATAGTTCCCTGTAATTATGACTGTGTACATATGCAAATATGAACTGTGACATATTTGGGTTATATCTTTGGAGCAGTTCTTTGAAGTATGTATGTCTTTTAAGTTTTGTCAATTTGCAGGCTGTTTTTGTCATTTTAATTTGGTAAGAGTAATGATACAATACCAGTATGATTGACAACTGCCATGATCAGTGAACAACCAGAGACAAGGTGGGGCCTTAATTACAATGTCCCACCACCTTGAATGCCAATCATATTGAACAAATTACTAATCATTCTCAATCTTACATAATTAAACAGACCCTTCATTTTACATCTCAATACAGAAATATTTGACCTTATTATTGAATACACAATGTAAATATATAGAAATGCATCACAGGTTGATATATTCTGTATTTTTATAGGTTCCACCGACTCTGATACATCAGGAGTTGATATATTCTGTATTTTATAGGTTCCACTGACTCTGATACATCACAGGTTGATATATTCTGTATTTTTATAGGTTCTACCGACTCTGATACATCACAGGTTGATATATTCTGTATTTTATAGGTTCCACTGACTCTGATACATCACAGGTTGATATATTCTGTATTTTATAGGTTCCATCGACTCTGATACATCACAGGTTGATATATTCTGTATTTTTATAGGTTCCACCGAATCTGATACATCACAGGTTGATATATTCTGTATTTTTATAGGTTCCACCGAATCTGATACATCACAGGTTGATATATTCTGTATTTTATAGGTTTCACTGACTCTGAACTCTGATACATCACTGGCTAATATATTCTGTATGTTATAGGTTCCACCGACTCTTGATACATCACTGGCTAATATATTCTGTATTTTATAGGTTCCACCGACTCAGATACATCACAGGTTGATATATTCTGTATTTTTATAGGTTCCACCGACTCAGATACATCACAGGTTGATATAAAGAAAAGACACATGTCAGCTGACAGTGCTCTACAAACAATAAACCAAGAACATGAGGATGTGGATGTGGACGGTTTGTATTGATACCCACTTCAAGAAAATTGTTTTAATGTTAGATTGTAGAAACAGAAATACTACATGCAGTGATGTTTAATAAAAAGAAAAGGGATGATGGAAAGTTTAAGATATGATTTGTTAAGAAGGGAGGTGGAAAGGAAAGAATATAAAATGAACATTTAAAGTCCCATTTGATGATAAAGATTAATCAATAAAGAATGAGAGAAGCAGTATCATAGCTGTCCTTCTTCCTTTTATTTGCTATAAGTGGTATACAGATTCTACCACTCCACTTCATCCTGTTGATAATGATATTTATCCACTTGAGATAGTTGAATTTTTTATAGAAAGGATATGAGTTCTGCCAAGCATTTTAAAACAGGGCTATTGATTGTTGATAAATATTGCAGTCAATGGAGTGAAGTGCTAGAACCTATTTCTTTACTAATTAATGAAAATCTTGAGTACAATGTTCCAAACATTTTCAAATGGATATGGTGCAAGATTAAGAAAAATTTAATCAACGTGTGGTTCATCCAAATATATGTTTAGACTGAATGTAGATTTCCATGGCATTGCATTCCCTGTCGACACACCTTGTCCCTCTCTCTCTCTCTCCATTTTGAATTCATGCGATTACCTGAACTTGTCTTTGTATCGATTTACAAGTGTTGAATATAGGTTAACTACTGACCCCTTTGTCTTTGTATCGATTTACAAGTGTTGAATATAGGTTAACTACTGACCCCTTTGTCTTTGTATCGATTTACAAGTGTTGAATATAGGTTAACTACTGCCCCCTTTGTCTTTGTATCGATTTACAAGTGTTGAATATAGGTTAACTACTGACCCCTTTGTCTTTGTATCGATTTACAAGTGTTGAATATAGGTTAACTACTGACCCCTTTATTTACAACGGATTTAAATGAATACTGCAAATCAAAAGAATAAAACATATATCATACAGTTTTGTTATAATTTTAGATATGCATAAGGCAGAACATAGAGAGGAAGTCATAGTTGAAACAGAACCTAAACAGGAAGTTGATACCATGGCAACGGAAGAGTCCATTGAAACAGAGGATGAATTGAGCAAAGATGAGGTTGTTAATTGTATTTGTATGGTCAATGAAGAAAATGGCTTGATGATTCAGGTAAACTGGAATACAAATAAAGTTTTGTCTCAAACACAGCTAAAGTAAGAATAATCAAAGTTGTGTGGTACATATGTATCAATGAAATAATCAAAGTTGTGTGGTACATATGTATCAATGAAATAACAAAACAACAATACAATAAAACCAAAAAGAATAGTGTCTAAATTCCATGTCAGTCTTTCTAAGTCTAGTCAAACAGTAAGTATATACCAAATGTATGACAAGACCTAAATTCATTTTATTGAGAAAAAAAAAACCAATAACATTAATATGAACAACAGCAACCACAGACAAAGTTTGGACGTGTACATAATTATGACGGGCACATTGTAGCAGGGTAATTCTAGTTTTTATAGTACTTATACATTATCAGGGTTGTTCCATGAAAACATAAATAGGAGCCAGGGAATACCAACTATCAGTGGGTGTTAAATACTTTTTTGTCTAGTGAAAATGTATTGAATTTCTTAAATTGCCTCTATAGGTGGTTATCATGTTAGTGTCTTCCCTGGCTACCATGTATGTTTTAGTGGAACAGCTCTTACTCATATCGTACAAATTTAGTATTTGTTTATATTTAGAGAAAGTTAGAATATTTGACAGAATTATAATACTTTGTGATATTAAAAGGACTTTAAAAGATGCCTTGTTATACCTTCTCCTTTCGATAATTACACTAAAGAGTCTTTTAAAGAAAAATTTAAACCATATTACTTAATCCAGGAAACAATTTAGATTTCTGTGGTCTATTTCTAATATTTAGTTATTGCATATAATAGTATGACTATAATCACTGTATGTTAGAAGCATATAAATAATATGTTTTCACTAATGAACAGACCTGTTTATGTTATCATGACAACATATGGTTTATATTTTAGTGTGAAGTATGCCTGTGCTGGCAGCATGCTCTGTGCTTTGATTTGACAGAGGAAACATTACCTAGAAAATACATTTGTTTTGTGTGTAAAGACCCACCTGGTAAGTCTATAGCCTTGTGCCTTGTTTAGTTTTTTTCATATTTATATGTATTGATAAATAACAAAGGAAGTATCCTGTAATTCAACATATTCATAAACAGGGGGGTGAGTGGGGTTGGTGGACTCAGTGGACGAGTGGTCTAAGTAGTTCATCTTCTGTATCACTATCACTAGCCTGTCAACACTGAGGTTTTGAGTTCAAGACCCGCATGTTGCAGGTGTTTTCCATTCCAATCTTAAATGCCTTGGATTGTCCTATGGAAAGGTCTGTGGTTCTCTCCGGCCACTCCAGCTTCCTCCACTAAAAGAATCTGACAGCAACGATATAGCTAAACGTGCTGAAAGTGGCATTAAACACCAACAATCAATCAATCACAACCAGGGACAGGGACTTATGTATGACAGAAAAGTCATCAGGGTAAAAATTTCTCCAATTCCAAAATATGTGTTACAGTTCCCCCGCTTTTGCAGATGTGCAGCACTTTCTAGCTCACCTGGCCCGAAGGGCCAAGTGAGCTTTTCTCATCACTTGGCATCCGTCGTCCGTCGTCGGCGTTAACTTTTTACATTTTGAACTTCTTCTAGAGAACCACTGAATGGAATGAAACCAAACATGGCATGAATGTTCCTTCTGAGGTGCTGACTAAGTGTTGTTACTTTGTAGCCGATCCATCATCCAAGATGGCCGCCAGCGGGGGACTTAGTTTTACATAGGACCCTACGGGAAATGCATACAAATGACTTCTTTTAGAGAACCACTGAATGGAATGAAACCAAACATGACATGAATGTTCCTTATGAGGTGCTCACCAAGTGTTGTTACTTTGTAGCCGTTCCATCATTCAAGATGGCCGACAGCGGGGGACTTAGTTTAACATAGGACCCTATGAGAAATGCATACAAATGACTTCTTTTAGAGAACCACTGAATGGAATAAAACCAAACATGGCATGAATGTTCCTTTTGAGGTGCTGACCATGTGTTGTTACTTTGTAGCCGATCCATCTTCCAAGATGGTCGCCATTGGGGAACTTAGTTTAACATAGGACCCTACGGGAAATACATACAAATGTCTTCTTTTAGAGAACCACTGAATGGAATGAAACCAAACATGGCATGAATGTTCCTTATGAGGTGCTGACCAAGTGTTGTTACTTTGTAGCCGATCCATCATCCAAGATGGCCGCCAGCGGGGGACTTAGTTTAACATAGGACCCTATGGGAAATACATAAAAATGTCTTCTTTTAGAGAACCACTGAATGGAATGGAACCAAACATGGCATGAATGTTCCTTATGAGATGCTGACCAAGTGTTGTTACTTTGTAGCCGATCCATCATCCAAGATGGCCGCCAGCGGGGGACTTAGTTTAACATAGGACCCTATGGGAAATACATACAAATGTCTTCTTTTAGAGAACCACTGAATGGAATGAAACCAAACATGGCATGAATGTTCCTTATGAGGTGCTGACCAAGTGTTGTTACTTTGTAGTCGATCCATCATCCAAGATGGCCGCCAGCGGGGGACTTAGTTTAAGAAAGGACCTATGGGAAATACATACAAATGTCTTCTTTTAGAGAACCACTGAATGGAATGAAACCAAACATGGCATGAATCTTCCTTATGAGATGCTGACCTATTGTTGTTACTTTGTAGCCGATCCATCATCCAAGATGGCCGCCAGCGGGGGACTTAGTTTTACATAGGACCCTTTGGGAAATACATAAAAATGTCTTCTTTTAGAGAACCAATAAATGGAGTGGAACCAAACATGGCATGAATGTTCCTTATGAGATGTTGACCAAGTGTTGTTACTTTGCAGCCGATCCATCATCCAAGATGGCCGACAGCGGGGGACTTAGTTTAACATAGGACCCTATGGGAAATACATACAATTGTCTTCTTTTAGAAAACCACTGAATGGAATTGAACCAAACATGGCATGAATGTTCCTTATGAGTTGCTGACCAAGTGTTGTTACTTTGCAGTCGATCCATCATCCAAGATGGCCGCTAGGGGGGGGGGGGGGGGGGCTTAGTTTAACATAGGACCCTATGGCAGTCAGAGCTCTGACATAAACAAGTCAGAATAAAATGACTTCCATAGGTCAGATATAATTTGATGTAAGTGTTGTCTCCCTTCTTGCACTCAACAGAATATGACTTGTACAGGTCAGTTTATGTCAGACTTTAATTTATCATAAAATGACTTCCACAGGTCAGATTTTGCACAAAATATTGTGACTTAATATCTTCATATTCTAATAAGATTTATGCCCCTTTTTGATGCATTTTGACTTCGAGAGGTCATTTTTGTTCTGATTTGAAGCAGTCATTACTACCACTTTGTTATCAATCTCCATAAAAATATGGTGATTACTAGTTTCGAATTAAAGAGTTTTAAAAAGTGGGGCTCATCTGACATCATACCTTCTCCTTTCCAGAATCTAAACATAATATATTTATCTCATCACTTTCAATTATTTCAAAATACAAAGAAAAACCAGGTGAGAAAAAATGGATCATACAATTTTCTGAATATCAAAAGATTTACAAAATACAATATTGGATACATTACATGACAATACTTCAAATCTTCCAAGGAAAAACAAGACACTTATTAATGATAAGAGCCAGATAAAAAACAGAGAGAATAAAGTCCCCATAAGTCACAATAATGAGGACAATAAAAAAGTTTATTTGGTATATTCAATATTAAATGTATTTTGTTTTAAACAGGTCAAATCATGTTCCGACTTAAAAGAGTCAGTCCAAAACTAAAATAAATTTATTGAAATATTTAAGCCTGGCATTGCAGGGCTTAAAGGAAGTACACCTAGCTTTGATTGGAAATTTTGTTCTGCAAATTGACTTAAACAGGTCACTTAGTCATGTTCTGACTTTAAAAAATCAGTCAAAAACTAAATTTATTGAAATTATTAAGTCAGGCATTGCCATTTGATATTAATGATAATGTATGGAAAAATCAATTAATAAACTCAACAGTGGCAGATTCAGAAGGGGGCTAAGAGGAAGAACACATAGCTTTGATTGGAAATTTTGTTCTGCAAATTGACTCAAACAGGTCAAATCATGTTCTGACTTAAAAGAGTCCGTCAAAAACTAAATGTATATGCATAAAATCTTGTTCATAATTTTTGAAAAGATGGAGAGATTAATGAGTCTATATTTTGTTATTCCGACTCACAAATGTCACTATGTGACAAATTTCGGGAATTTTTCTCTCCTTTTGACTGATTCCTATATGTTGTATGGGTGCCATAACTATCACTACAACATGTACAAAGTCAGCACATTCTAAGGGACGCCATCAAAAGACCAATGTAGGATAAAAAAACTTAATTCAAATAGTTTGGGGGTGGGGGTGGGGTTAAAGTTGCTGCAAGTTTTGTTTATCCAAAATCGATTTTACATAAATCCATATTGGTCAATCAATCTTTCCCAAATTAAGTTGAGGGGGGGTGGGGGGGGGGTCAGTGAAAAAACTATGTGATGTGAATTAAGTTTTTTATCCTATATTGAACTTTTGATGTCATCCCTAATGACTTGACCTATTACAGTATTTCTGTCTGAATTTTTTATGAATATTCTGTATTTACTAATTTAACTACATGTATGTTATTGCAAGTGTATTAATTAGCTTTGTTTATTACTTATATTAAACTAAACCTCTATTAATCAATTATCTTTACTCTGGTTATTGATTATATAAGAAAAACTCTGCCTATTACTATATGACTGTAATCTAAACTCTGATTGTTAACATCCTGGATTGCATATCTGCATGACCATTAAACTCATGGTATACCCATTTTATTTGAGGATATAAAAGTATTGTTTTTTCAATATAACATTTTCATACACATTGAATCTGTGAAGACAACTTTCAATTTGACTTTAGAAATTAAAGAGTTTGTAAGCAAAATGTTGGGGAAATTTAATTATAATTAAGAATGTTTAAAATTAGTTAAGAAAAAAGCCGACATTAATAATGTTAAAAAAAATTTGAGGAGAAAAAACATACAAAGTCAGACCAAATATGGTGACTTTGTTGTCCTTCAAGAAGCCGTACATATAATCCATAATATTTTCACTGTTTTTTAAATACATGTAAAAGTTGAAAGATAACTATCTATTGATTTTTTTTTAAATAGCTTTTTTCACAACACTTATAACTTTGTAATTTATGTTCCATTGTACACTTGTTATTCTTAATATCTTTAAAAATTGTTGTTTGGGAACAAAATCTTGTCAGGGTTTCTTATGGTACTAGCATGACAAGTACATTCATATTCTAAAATACTCTAAACATTAAAAAAAGTCAGTATTTTCAGATCATTCCGAGTCTTTCTGACCTTATTAAGTCAGAACATTCAGACTTTTATAAGTCAGATCATTCAGACTTTTATAAGTCAGAACATTCTGACTTCCAATGTTCTTCTCACTTCTGTAGAAACAAAGACTATCTATGTCTCAAATAAGAGGTAAATGCTTCATGTGGCTAAGCATCTGGGATAAGAATTATAGATGTGTAATTTCAGAGGAAAACAAATATGCCAAAATTTATTTTTTTTTTCATATAGATTAGACCGTTGGTTTTTCCGTTTGAATGGTTTTACACTAGTAGTTTTTTGAGGCCCTTAATAGCTTGCTGTTCGGTGTGAGCCAATGCTCCGTGTTGAAGGCCGTACCTTGACCTATAATGGTTTACTTTTATAAATTGTAACTTGGATGGAGAGTTGTCTCATTGGCACTCATACCACATCTTCCTATATCCATGTAATTAATAAGATGTGATGCATGTGAGAGGAAAATAATACTGAATAGACAATTCTGTTTGCACAAACACTGATAAATATAATATGTAAAGGTGGTCTCTCAGAAGATTAAAATAAACAAGAAATAATTGTAACAGGATGCTGTTACGAAGTCTCCCAAACAAATTTAAGCTCCCATAATTCGTCATTCCCATGGTTGCCTGACATTGGGCAAGTTCCAGTACAAATTGGTTTTGTCTAGTAAAGTGATATGCATAAGTGACGCCTAGGGTTTGACCCTGCATGTCATTCAAATCTTCTTGAAATGACGAACAGGAATATCATATGGTTTACCTTTAGGGGTGGTGATCCAGAACATTTCAAAAAGGGGGATGGGGATGACCCCAATGGACTTCCCCTATATTTCATTTGATTTGTTTTATTGTCCTGTGCAAGAATGTATATGGTGTAGGGGTGGGGATCTCGACCGTTTACAAGTTTTCAAACATGAGGGGGTGGGGTGACCCTCAGGGACTCCACCTTTATTTCATTTGATTTGTCTTATTGACCCTTACAAGAATATATATGGTTAAGGGGTGGGGATCCCGACCGTTTACAAGTTTTCACACAGGAGGGGGTGGGGGTGACCCCAAGGGACTTCCCCTATACTTCATTTGATTTGTTTTATTGTCCTATTCAAGAAAATATATGGTTTAGGGGTGGGGATCTCGACCGTTTACAAGTTTTCAAACAGGAGGGGTAGGGGTGACCCCCAGGAACCTCCCTAACATATCATTTGATTTGTTAAATTGTCCCATACAAGAATATATATCGTTTAGGGGTGGGGATCTCTACCGTTTACAAAATATAAGAACATTTGCAAATGGCAGGGGTGGGGGTAAACCTGGAGACTAGCTCGGTATATTTCATTCAAATCAATTTGACATTATAAAGAGGAATAGAGAAATGACAGGGATAGGGGTGATCCCTGGAGACTTGCCCTACATTTCATTTGATTTGATGTATCATGTCCCATGATCATAAATGAAGACCAGGTGTGTGCATCACTTATTGTTCTCAAGTTATAACTTTAAAAATAAAAAAAAACCCTTGGGTTCTTTAGTTAAACCCCTCCCTTCCTTTTTCTTTAATTAAAATTTTTCCCATTTTCGTTTCATTATCATCATATCAATATTCACAATGATCGTTTTTCTCATAGGGAGAAACGAATCAGAAAGGTTAAAAAATCAGTTCGTGATTGAGTTTAAAAATAGAAAAATCACGTGACGATGTTCAGCTCGAAGCAATAATTTTACTTTTTAAATTGCACTGACTGGTTAATAATGTAATATTGTTTAAGACAACACGAGTTATCTCCCGAAAATAACAATTCATTATCATAACAACATTTTCTGACCTGAACAAGTCAGAATTGTCAAACACCAGGTCATCTAAAAGACCACGCGTCCGTATTTACAGGTCGCGCGCCTTCATGAAACAGCAAAAAAATCACTTGCAAGGAACTTCTTTATAGGCAAAAAATATAAAAATGCCCATGAAAATACGGAGGTAATATGAATTACCTTTCTAAAAATGCCCACAATGACCTAGATTTTCACTAAAAATCGTAAATAATCAATATAATATTCAATGACTTCTCGTTCGAGACACTTCCAAAACAACGACTCTCAAACACGTGATCTCTTGCAAAAAACCACGTGATCGTATGTGTCGTAGATCGGCGGCAAATTCAAAATAACTTCTGGTTTGACGGACTCGAGTGAAAACTACGCAAAACAAAAATTGACGCGTACAGGTCAGAATTTCAAAACACTTTCTGACTTGAAGAAGTCATTTTATTCTGACTTGTTTATGTCAGAGCTCTGACTGTATGGGAAATACATACAAATGTCTTCTTTTAGAGTATCACTGAATGGAATGAAACCAAACATGGCATGAATGTTCCTTATGAAGTGCTGACCAAGTGTTGCTACTTTGTTGCTGATTTACTGTTCAAGATGGCCACCAGGATATTTTATTAAATAACGGGACCAATATTAATCAAAATTTGGCATCAATCATTATTTGGGTATCTGTTATGATTTTTATCTATCTTTACATGATTTCTAAAACCAAAGTAGAGTCAGGTGAGCGACACAGGCTCTTGAGAGCCTCTAGTTGTTATGCCCCACCTATGGGCATTATGTTTTTCGGTCTGTTCGTCCGTTCGTCCATCCGTCTGTCCGCTCCAGTTTAAAGTTTTTGGTCAAGGTAGTTTTTGATGAAGTTGAAGTCCGATCAACTTGAAACTTTGTACAAATGTTTCCTATGATATGATCTTTCTAATTTTAATGCCAAATTAGAGTTTTGACCCCAATTTCACGGTCCTCTGAACATTGAAAATGATAGTGTGAGTGGGGAATCCGTGTACTATGGACACCTTCTTGTTATTCCTTCTTATGAAGTCAACTCATGTATATGAGATCAAATGTAAATGAACATTTAAAAAAAAAGTTTTCCTGCTCTGACATAGTCAACCATTTGAAATACTAACTTTCATAGCAAGCATAATAGGACAACAATGTAACTGGAAGTGATAACTTTTAACCTTGAAGAAACTGCAAAACTGTTCATTTTTAAATTCACTGTTTACCAGAATGTTATTTGAAATATGTAGGGAGAGCACTTGAAGGTATTGGAGGTTGTAAGAATTAACCTGTTACTGTGATGATTGGCATGTACTATGAATCTTGATGGTGTTAATTTATAAAATGAATTATTTATATTTTCCAGCTGTAAGAGATAGTTGTAGGTACATCCATGATCAGGAATGGTTAAAGACAGGAGAGTTGGCTCAGTTTAACTTTTTACCAAGTAAGATGAGAGATGAAAATAAGTGCAGAACAAACCAGGCAACTCACAGCCTGGTAGCAGACACACTTAACATCAGTCGTGTAATACATGGTGTGAAACAGAAAATACTGGCTTTAGAGTAAGTATAGACACACTAAACATCAATAGTGTACTACATGGTGTCAAACAGAAAATACTGGCTTTAGAGTAAGTATAGACACACTTAACATTTATAGTGTAATACATGGTGTGAAACAGAAAATACTGGCTTGAGAGTAAGTATAGACACACTTAAAATCAGTAGTGTACTACATGGTGTGAAACAGAAAATACTGGCTTGAGAGTAAGTATAGACACACTTAACTTTAATAGTGTAATACATGGTGTGAAACAGAAAGTACTGGCTTGAGAGTTGGTATAGTCACACTTAACATCAGCATTTATACTTGTTTGCTAAAATCCCAGTTAAAGCAAATTAAATTGTAGGGGTTATATTTCTGTACTTGAAAATTTGAAGAAAAGATGTCATGGACAATAAATATCTAGTGAAAACGTGATTCATAAAGATTACTGATTTTTGGTAATGACATATTTAAGGGGATGGAAAGATAATATAGATTTAAAAGATGTGTATTTTTTGTAGAGACAAAAATCATCCAGAATATAAACTATGGAAGAAAAACTGGGACGAGGAGCCTGAAGACATAATAGCAGACGAACATGAAAGTGTTACCATGGAGATGGATGATGAAAAATGTGAAAATCTAGATCTTTTAGAAAGTGCTGCAAAAATGAATTCTGAACTAGGCAAAACATCTGAAATTACTGAAAAATCTGGGTTTCCAAGGGATAAAAGTGTAGGGGTCTGTGTTGCTAAGACTGAAAATGACAAGCATGAAGATGAAAATTTAATTCATGATTCTATGGACCGTGGAGCTCAAAGTGAGGAGGAGGCTGGGAAGGACAGTTCAGGTGAAAGTTCGGTGAATGCTGATAGTGAATCTACATTGTCTGCTCCAGAGGCCATTGCTCATCAAAACATGCAGGATCATGAAGCCTCCATGGCTGAAGAGAGCATTCAAGGGGAGATAATTGAAGAAAAAATGGAAACTGAAGAGGTCAGTTAAAATTTGAAGTGTATTTAAAAGGGATTACATAGTTTTAAAAGTTGACTGAGTTCTCACATCAAGGATACATTCCAATACATGATCTTCAAACTGTTTTTTTTTCCCTGAAAAATTTGACGTCACAGAGCAAACATCTTTACATCATAATGTCCTTTGATGCCTTTTCCCCAAAACGAACCCAGTTCAAACAAGACAGTTCATTCATAGAATTGAAATTGGAATCTTGTTAGCTCACTTGGCCTTTTGCTTTTCTCATCACTTGGTGTTCGTCGTCCATCGTCGTTTACTTTTACAAAAATCTTCTCCTCTGAAACTACAGGACCAAATTTAACCAAATTTGGCCACAATCATCATTGGGGTATCTAGTTTTAAAAATATGTCCAATGACCTGGCCCGCTTACCAAGATGGCTGCCATGGCTGAATATAGAACATGGGGTAAAATGTAGATTTTGGCTTCTATCTCTGAAACCAAAGCATTTAGAGCAAATCTGACATGGGGTAAAATTGTTCATCAGGTCAATATCTATCTGCCCTGAAATTTTCAGTCAAACCAGATAACCCATTGTTGGGTTGCTGCCCATGAATTGAAAATTTTGCAGGTTTTGGTTATTATCTTCAATATTATTATAGATAGAGATAAACTGTAAACAGCAATAATGTACAGCAAAGTAAGATCTATAAATAAGTCAACATGACCAAAATGGTCAATTGACCCCTTAAGGAGTTATTGCCCTTTATAGTCATTTTTTAACAATTTTTGGTAATTTTTTGTAATCTTTTACAAAAAGCTTCTCCGCTGAAACAACTGAGACAAATTTAACCAAACTTGGCCACAATCATTATTAGGGTATCTAGTTTAAAAAATGTGTCCGATGACCCAGCCTGCCAACCAACATGGCTGACATGACTAAAAATAGAACATAGGAGTAAAATGCAGATTTTGGCTTATATCTCTTAAACTAAAGCATTTAGAGCAAATCTGAAACGATGTAAAAATGTTCATCAGGTTAAGATCTATCAGCCCTAAAATTTTCAGACAAATCAGACAACCCGTAGTTGGTTTTATACGTCAAAACTGTTAGACAAATTCTTATAGGAGTTATTGCCCATAAATGACAAATTTTACCATTTTTTTTTCATTTTTTCCTATTATCATGATATGAAAACTATCACTGGCAGACCTATTTGGAAAATCACCGCGATTTTTGTAAAAACTCCGGTGTTTTTTGGCTAATCTCCGCGAAACGGATAATAATTAGAGGTTCATCGTAAATTTGCTGTATTACAGGATATTTTGCATGTTATCCGGAGATTTTCCGTGTCGGCGGGAATTAGCCGTTTGTCCGATAAAACTGGTGTGTATTGAGTCATTGATAGAACCACTGATGCGTGAGCGACGGTTATTAATAGGTCGTTGTATAATCCGTTATGCGTGAGCGACGGTTATTAATAGATCCTTGTAGTGTGGTACAAATTATGATATATAGATGTTTACAGAAGTAAAAACAAAGTAACTATAATCATTTGAGATATAAGGAATTTTCAAAAATATATCATATAATGTTTCTGTAAATTTAGAGAGAAACAGATTATATATATTTGGGGATTAGATGGTTAGTTTTTTTAATTATATGTCAGAGGCCGCAGATCATTTAATTGCTTCTAGAACCGTTTGTTGAAACAAAAATAAAATGAACGGCCAGGGGAAAGTCTTTAGTAACCTTAGTTGGTATCAGGGGTCAACTGGGTTGAGTTCAATATCGTAGCAGCTACGTAGCGGCTATGTAGTTGCTTTCAATATCTATGTAGCAGCTAATCTATAGCTACACGTTCAATAGTAAAAATCTACATAGCACTACGTAGCCGCTACGATATTGAACACAACCCTGGTAATACATAGAGTCAGACCGTCATTGCATAATATGTATATGTATTTACACACAATGCAGTGCATTCAAACTCGATTTCGCAAACTCGTGGGTTGTCTTTTTAGACAAAAAAGTTCAATTTAAAAGGTATGAAAGTTGCGTACATGTATACAAGGAATTGTATATTTAACGTCAATGCCTGTCTTGTAAACTAATCTGTTACACTTTGAAATGTAAATAAGTTCTATTTAAAAGATTGGACGGTTATTTCACATGAATAAAAGTTCTTCTGATCATTTTTGTTTTACAATGATTTTTGAAAGTGCGATCTTAAAACTAAGTTTGTCCGGACTTGCATGGAATATTTGCCACTGGAAGTTAAGCAACCAACAATCAATCATCTTAAAATAAAATAAATATGCCTGAGCGATAATATTCTTAAATTTTATAATTCATTTATTAGAAATCACTTTCAGGTCTAATGGTAAAGTGAATATACATTCCGGGATGAGATTAATTTACTATAATTGCCGAAGAAAAAGAAATGATATTACGTTTCTTTTAATTAAAAATTAGACTGCAACAAATGTAGATCGAACATTTTTAATAATGAAATAATGCACGTGAAAAATTTCACTCACAATAGAGATGTTAAAAATAGATTTTATCAATTGTGTCACTGCACGAGATTTTCCAACGGCGGGAAATATCATGTAGCTATAAACACAGGTGATGTTACTGACCGATTGTGGAATGTCAATTTAGGGTTAAATTTGATGTGTAATGATTGACATTATTGTGCGCGTTAGGTTGAGGCTCTAGAAGGTTCATTTCAATTGATAACCAAAATTATAAAATCAAGTTTTTTTTTCAAATCAACGTTTAAGTGTAAAATTTTGTGGGAGGTAAACTTTATTTTGTTTGTTTTTTAGGGGCACAGGGAGTTACCATAAAATCTATAGGATCATTGAATAAAACAATTTCGAAGGTCACAACTTGTAAACTAATGAAAACAATGATAAACACTGCTGACAAGCGTAAACAGTTGTACATTACTTAGAAAATAGAGAAAGTGAAAAAAAAGGACGTTGATGATGGTTACTGTTCATGTTAATTTTGAAAGATCGTGGTAACTGATTTCTGGGATGGTGGTACTTGCCAAAAGGTTGTATAAAAGGACAAACTAAGTACAATTTTAGCCGTGATATATGGGGCCCCTCACGCTTGAATTAATTTACGTTACGTATTTCGTCCTTTATTATGACCTACAGTTGATCATAGTTGAGTACTACGTATCGGTCAGGGGCGGATCCAGACACTGTGAAAAAAGGAAGGGTGTACTAGCCAGGGTTTCTCAGAAAAAAGGGGGTGCTAGTACAGTTGGCCTAATGTATTTGAAGGCCAGGATTGGAAGATTATCAGACATTCTGTGGCTCAATTTTAATTTTATTTTCTAACTGTGAAGTGCTACCTAAGCCGTGGCCTGGAGAACCATACCCAAATTTTTAAAAGGGTGTTCCAAAGGAATATTAAAATACTTCCAGCATTATACAGGTCCTGAGGTACAATTTCTTGGGGAGGAGATTTCAATTGCTGTTATGTGGGTTAATTTTTTGTTACTAGGAATTTTCGTTTTTTTTTTTCATCAGATTTGCCCCAATTGTCTATTCTGTTAAGGTTTCACAAAAGTCAAAATATATAACACTTCATAAACATCTGAACTTTGCCTGTATTTTTCAACCTATAATGAATAAAGTCCTAAACTATATGAAAATATCTTCATTTAAACATACTTAAACATATGCACACCGTGTAAATTGTAAATAAAATTGAAATTGTTATGTTGTGGCCAACCCGGTTCTTGGGGGTGAACACCAAATTTTCCAAAAAAAATCTGGAGGCCTATTCTGATCATATTCTGATCCCCAATTTGATGAGAGAAAAAAATATTGTGGTCTGGCAGTTGACAAAAAAAATCGGAATTCCAGAATTCCCCATACCGTTTATTTCGAGAAAAAAATGTTTGGTGCATGGCAGTGGGGAATAACGTTGTGTTCCGAATTATTTCCGACTCAGAACAAACCCCTAACCCTTTGAATTTAAATGTTGCTCCTATATACCTTACTATCGTGAATTTTCAATGTTTCATGTATATTTCAGGTCAGATCCCAGGGCATACTATGTGTTCAAAATTATAAAAACGTAGAAAATTCATGATTCATGTACGTGTAATATGTCTCAAGAAAATGGATTGAAGGCATATTAATTATCAAATTATTTATTTGTACAAAAAAAAAACATAGGCAATGAAAACCGTGTGTGCGCCAAGAAAGGTCAATACGTATGACTCAACTCGGAGGCTGATTTAGGGGCAGGCTGTCCAGATCCCTCCTTATGGAACTACATATGGTTAATTTTGACTTTTATTTACTTGTTTCACTTACCCGAATAATTCAGTCGTTATATTCCGCTGATCTACGATTATTTCATTAACAAGTATATAGAAGAGATCGATTACGGAGAGAGACTGAATTTTTCGGGGTTAGTTCCACTCCGACCTTTTTTTAGTTTATACAATAAAGCAAGTCTATTTAATCCATTTCTCCGCTGTTTTCGTTATATATAGCACTTTTGTCATACTAAGTTAGGTTTCAAAGAGTGGATCATTAATATGAACATGTCGGGGTCTTTTAGAGCTGACAATGCGGTATGGGCTTTGCTCATTGTTGAAGGCCGTACGGCGACCTATAGTTGTTAATTTCTGTGTCATTTTTGGTCTCTTGTGGAGAGTTGTCTCATTGCCAATCATACCACATCTTCTTTTTTTATATATAATAACAATATCATAATTACAAATACTAATTCTCCTTACGTCATCCGAGAATACACGTGTCTTTTCTTTAGGCTAAAGTAGATGGTCAGATATATATATGGAATTTTGAAAGGACCTTGACTGGCTACACAGCTCTTGCACGATCTGATCGATGGTCAGAAAGATGACCGGACAAGTTCTAAGTGCACACAAATGGTCACATGTCATGAATATCCATGAACGTACATCGAACTAAATTTTATATATACGAATCCTTGCAGTACCACAGGTGTCCTTGTGTAATGAAATT